CCATTTGTGTCCTCTGGCCATCGCCCTCTTTGGTAACGCCCATCACTGCAAAGACCCTTTTCCTTCATCGGCGTTTGCTGTTCTTCCTGCCAGTGAGTGTTGCTTTCACTTACACTTGCCACAGCCAGCCTCGTGAGTGCCTAGCCTATTGGATATCACTGTCACCTACACAGGACAGTCATTACCTTTCTATTAATACTTTGTTTTTTAATTTCACATTAATTTCCAAATTGTATAAACGACTGGAAAAAACTTGAGCCCCTGCCCCTGTATAATCATGTGCACGTCTCTGTTCTAGCTCTAAGGTAAATCTTCACTGCTCATGTTCTCCTCAGAAGCAGTCACCTCACTCCCCTCAGGTTACTGTACACATGCACCAACTGCCTGCTTCAGGTTTGGATGGAGCTTCATGGTTGTCTTTTGGAGAAATGACCAGTCAAGTTGTGTTTGAAATTTGATTTTTTTCAGGGGCAAAAGGAGCCTCTGCATTCTTGTCAAATATGTAAATAGCATGTTTTTTCAGGTGCTACAAACCAGACTCTGAGTGTGTGTGTGTGCGTGTGTGTGTGTCTGTGTGTGTGTGTGTGTGTGTGCGTTCAAGTCACATGACATATTTAACCGGATGTAGCTGCAAGACGGAGCCTCGTTGACTCTCCGTTTCAATTTATCTCAAAAGTGAGGACCTCAACCTATATACCAGTTTTTAAATTGTGTTGATAGGCCAAATAAAACCAGAGTTATGATAAATTATGTCCGCGATACTTGTTTTCTGCTTATTTTGATCACGTTCGGCGCTCGATCGCGCTGTATGAGACAGGAAAACATAGCATGCAGACATTAGCGACAGGTCTTACAGGCGGAAAAGGCTTGCCAAAAGAAAAAAAAAACACACCACAACATCTCTCCTATTGGTGGAAAACTTCACCACAACAACCAATCCAAAATTATATGGTGACTGATTGACAAGGGGCGGGAACTTACGTTCTTCCTGCAATATGAGAAGGGAGGGAGGGACTCTCAGCAGGGATGCAGTCTGGGACACGTAGTTGCAAACCTAGCGACTTTGTTGTTAGATTCAATGACTTTTCAGACCCCCTAACGACTTTTTTTTAGAAAGAAAGTGACTTTTATCGACTTCTTCTGGAGTTTAGAGACTCTGACATGAAGCAGGCTTTCCTTACTGAGGAGTTAGCAACGCTGCTAAGGGTGCAGAGCCACACATGCGCTCCGAGCTCTGCATGGGAGACTGAAGCTGACAGAGCTGCAGCAGTTAGCAGGTTTCACCTTCAGAGACCACCAGGGGTTCATGTTGAGGCATTTTCAGTTTTTTTTTTTTTTTTTTGCCATAGACACTGTCAGCACAATCTGCAGTTACACTAACAAAAATGCTGCAAAAAACAAAGAATTATGGAAAAATTACACATGGACTAACATAGAGGAGGATCTACACAAGTTTTTTACATCATGTTTTACATCATGCATCATTTACATCATGTTTTTTTGTAGTGGCATAAATAAAAAGTGACATTTGTGAGACTATACAGTGTTTTGTAAATAATTTTACAAAGAACACCTGGGCCATTGCCTGCATTTTGATGTCAATAGAGGTAAATTACTATGTTCTTTGTTAAAAATTTGCATATGTTTTGAAGTTTACAATTTTTATTTGAAGTTTAAGTTTTAAAAACAGTTCATCACACATATTTGTGGTTTTCACAGTAAAAACGTTACTTTTTTCCACTCGGATTTTATGTTTTGTGTGTGAATTTGGGTCCAATGTGTAAATATAGTATGTCAAAATGGTAAAATAACTGTAAATTGACACAGGTGAGGTTGTGCTGAAAAAAATGATACCAGGCAAGGCAAGGTAAAAATTTTGTAAGAGGAAATATAAAGGTAAAATCTAAAGTAGTCAAAAACGGCCAATAGTGACTCACAGACTCCACAGACAAGTCCCTTTGGTGCCACTCAGTGGGCAAAACTACTTTGTCTACTGTAATGTATATTTGGGTCATCTTTGGCGCCCCCTAAAACGTAAACCGTGGGGTGCAGCGTCATGATTTTTACAACTTTGAATGGCCATGGAGTGTAGATTGGCCTGAGCAAATTTGGTGTCAGTGGGACGAAAGCCTTAGGAGGAGTTAGCGAAATTCCAATGTGTGCGAATCGGCAAAAAATGCAAAATAGCCCTTTAACTGTACATTATACAGATACGCGCTCTTTGACTTTTTCGTAGATCTAATTGAGATACACATGATTGTCAATTTTTGTGTCATTTTGCCAAAGCGTACAGGCGTGACAGTCAACAATGTGTATTTTCACCTTAGGGGACAAGAAAAAATGGACTTTTTTCTCCTGCCATGGGGGGGCGCTCTTTTGGGGAGTAAAAATTCCTTCACAAATGTGTTGATGGCTGGACATTGCATCATCCTAGAAAACTTGGAGGCCAGTGAGGACAAAAATAAAAAGTTATAAGACTTTTAAATATGTGGATTTTAGTGTTATCTTTGGCGCCCCCTAGAACCTAAACCGTGGGGTGCAGCGTCATGATTTTGATAACTTTTAATGGCCATGGGGTGTAGATTGGCCTGAGCAAATGTGGTGCCGGTGGAACGAAAGTCTTCGGAGGAGTTAGCGAAATTCCAATGTGTGCGGATCGGCAAAAAATGCGAAATAACCCTTTAACCGTACATTTGACAGATACGCGCGCATTGACTTTTTCGTAGATCTTATTGAGTTACATGTGTGTGTCAATTTTTGTGTCATTTTGACAAAGCGTATAGGCGTGACACTCAACAATGTGTATTTTCACCTTAGGGGACAAGAAAAAATGGACTTTTTTCTCCTGCCATGGGGGGGCGCTCTTTTGGGGAGTAAAAATTCCTTCACAAATGTGTTGATGGCTGGACATTGCATCATCCTAGAAAACTTGGAGGCCAGTGAGGACAAAAATAAAAAGTTATAAGACTTTTAAATATGTGGATTTTAGTGTTATCTTTGGCGCCCCCTAGAACCTAAACCTTGGGGTGCAGCATCATGATTTTGATAACTTTTAATGGCCACGGGGTGTAGATTGGCCTGAGCAAATGTGGTGCCGGTGGAACGAAAGCCTTCGGAGGAGTTAGCGAAATTCCAATGTGTGCAGATCGGCAAAAAATGCGAAATAACCCTTTTACCGTAATTTTGACAGATACGGCCGCACTGACTTTTTTGTAGATCTTATTGAGATACATGTGTGTGTCAATTTTTGTGTCATTTTGACAAAGCGTACAGTCGTGACAGTGAATAGTGTGAATTTTCACCTTAGGGGGCGCTATGGAGCCATTTTGCATTTTATTGTTTTGGCGACTTCAGAATATCAAATTTTTCACCAGGCCCGGTCGTCCTGCCAAATTTCATGAGTTTTCGCCAGTGGGAAGTGGGCCATTTTCCAGTTCAAAGGGGAGGAAAAAGAAAAAAGAAAGAAAGAAACAAAGAAAAACCACTTGGGGAATAATAGGGCCTACGCCCGGCTGCTCTGCAGCTGGCTCGGGCCCTAACTAGGGCCCCGGTGGGGCACTGTCGGGCCCGAGCCGCGTTGCGCCGCCCCCAGCGCGACCGCCTCCCCCTCCTGATCGCGTCACACTCAAGGTCCAAAGATGGTGTGCGCACTTGTCTGTGGTCATTTCCCATTATAATGAATGGGCGGCGCAGTTTCTACCAAAACACTCGCTGCAGACAAACTACATGTCCTATTTGAAAAAAGTCTGGACCATGAGTGAGGGCACAAACACAGCTAGGATATATCCAAACGGCAAGTTGCTCCTCGTTACGGTGTTGCCGGGAGAGTGATGCGATTGAGCCATTGAGTGATGGGCAGAAAAACTTGACTGTTTCTCCTGCCATGGGGGTTGGGGGATGGGGGGGGGATGTGGATTCTTTTAAGAATGTGGATATTTGGGTCATCTTTGGCGCCCCCTAGAACGTAAACCGTGGGGTGCAGCGTCATGATTTTTACAACTTTGAATGGCCATGGGGTGTAGATTGACCTGAGCAAATTTGGTGTCAGTGGGACGAAAGCCTTAGGAGGAGTTAGCCACATTCCAATGTGTGCGAATCGGCAAAAAATGCAAAATAGCCCTTTAACCGTACATTTTACAGATACGCGTGCATTGACTTTTTCGTAGATCTTATTGAGATACATGTGATTGTCAAATTTTGTGTCAATATGACAAAGCGTACAGGTATGACAGTCAACAATGTGTTTTTTCATCTTATGGGACAAGAAAAAATGGACTTTTTTCTCCTGCCATGGGGGGGCGCTCTTTTGGGGATTAAAAATTCCTTCACAAATGTGTTGATGGCTGGACATTGCATCATCCTAGAAAACTTGGAGGCCAGTGAGGGCAAAAATAAAAAGTTATAAGACTTTGAAATATGTGGATTTTAGGGTTATCTTTGGCGCCCCCTAGAACCTAAACCGTGGGGTGCAGCGTCATGATTTGAATAACTTTTAATGGCCATGGGGTGTAGATTGGCCTGAGCAAATGTGGTGCCGGTGGAACGCCAGCCTTAGGAGGAGTTAGCGAAATTCCAATGTGTGCGGATCAGCAAAAAATGCGGAATAACCCTTTAACCGTACATTTGACAGATACGTGCGCACTGACTTTTTCGTAGATCTTATTGAGATACATGTGTGTGTCAAATTTTGTGTCAATATGACAAAGCGTACAGGCGTGACACTCAACAATGTGTATTTTCACCTTAGGGGACAAGAAAAAATGGACTTTTTTCTCCTGCCATGGGGGGGCGCTCTTTTGGGGAGTAAAAATTCCTTCACAAATGTGTTGATGGCTGGACATTGCATCATCCTAGAAAACTTGGAGGCCAGTGAGGGCAAAAATAAAAAGTTATAAGACTTTTAAATATGTGGATTTTAGGGTTATCTTTGGCGCCCCCTAGAACCTAAACCGTGGGGTGCAGCGTCATGATTTGAATAACTTTTAATGGCCATGGGGTGTAGATTGGCCTGAGCAAATGTGGTGCCGGTGGAACGAAAGCCTTCGGAGGAGTTAGCGAAATTCCAATGTGTGCGGATCGGCAAAAAATGCGGAATAACCCTTTAACCGTACATTTGACAGATACGCCCGCACTGACTTTTTTGTAGATCTTATTGAGATACATGTGTGTGTCAATTTTTGTGTCAATATGACAAAGCGTAAAGGCGTGACAGTCAATAGTGTGAATTTTCACCTTAGGGGGCGCTATGGAGCCATTTTGCATTTTCTTGTTTGGGCGACTTCGGAATATCAAATTTTTCACCAGGCCCGGTCATCCTGCCAAATTTCATGAGTTTTCGCCAGTGGGAAGTGGGCCATTTTCCAGTTCAAAGGGGAGGAAAAAGAAGAAAGAAAGAAACAAAGAACTAGGACCCCGTTGGGGCACTGGCGGGCCCGAGCTGTGTCGCGTCCCCCCCCCAACGCGCTGCCTCCCCGTCCCATTTGTGTCCTCTGGCCATCGCCCTCTCTGGTAACGCCCATCACTGCAAAGACCCTTTTCCTTCATCGGCGTTTGCTGTTCTTCCTGCCAGTGCGTGTTGCTTTCACTTACACTTGCCACAGCCAGCCTCGTGAGTGCCTAGCCTATTGGATATCAATGTCACCTACACAGGACAGTCATTACCTTTCTATTAATACTTTGTTTTTTAATTTCACATTAATTTCCATATTGTATAAACAACTGGTAAAAACTTGAGCCCCTGCCCCTGTATAATCATGTGCACGTCTCTGTTCTAGCTCTAAGGTGAATCTTCACTGCTCATGTTCTCCTCAGAAGCAGTCACCTCACTCCCCTCAGGTTACTGTACACATGCATCAACTGCCTGCTTCAGGTTTGGATGGAGCTTCATGGTTGTCTTTTGGAGAAATGACCAGTCAAGTTGTGTTTGAAATTTGATTTTTTTCAGGGGCAAAAGGAGCCTCTGCATTCTTGTCAAATATGTAAATAGCATGTTTTTGCAGGTGCTAAAAACCAGACTCTGAGTGTGTGTGTGTGCGTGTGTGTGTGTGTCTGTGTGTGTGTGTGTGTGTGTGTGTGTGTGTGTGTGTGTGTGTGTGTGTGTGTGTGTGCGTTCAAGTCACATGACATATTTAACCGGATGTAGCTGCAAGACGGAGCCTCGTTGACTCTCCGTTTCAACTTATCTCAAAAGTGAGGACCTCAACCTATATACCAGTTTTTAAATTGTGTTGATAGGCCAAATAAAACCAGAGTTATGATAAATTATGTCCGCGATACTTGTTTTCTGCTTATTTTGATCACGTTCGGCGCTCGATCGCGCTGTATGAGACAGGAAAACATAGCATGCAGACATTAGCGACAGGTCTTACAGGCGGAAAAGGCTTGCCAAAGGAAAAAAAAAACACACCACAACATCTCTCCTATTGGTGGAAAACTTCACCACAACAACCAATCCAAAATTATATGGTGACTGATTGACAAGGGGCGGGCGCTTACGTTCTTCCTGCAATATGAGAAGGGAGGGAGGGACTCTCAGCAGGGATGCAGTCTGGGACACGTAGTTGCAAACCTAGCGACTTTGTTGTTAGATTCAATGACTTTTCAGACCCCCTAACGACGTTTTTTTAGAAAGAAAGTGACTTTTATCGACTTCTTCTGGAGTTTAGAGACTCTGACATGAAGCAGGCTTTCCTTACTGAGGAGTTAGCAATGCTGCTAAGGGTGCAGAGCCACACATGCGCTCCGAGCTCTGCATGGGAGACTGAAGCTGACAGAGCTGCAGCAGTTAGCAGGTTTCACCCTCAGAGACCACCAGGGGTTCATGTTGAGGCATTTTCAGTTTTTTTTTTTTTTTTGCCATAGACACTGTCAGCACAATCTGCAGTTACACTAACAAAAATGCTGCAAAAAACAAAGAATTATGGAAAAATTACACATGGACTGACATAGAGGAGGATCTACACAAGTTTTTTACATCATGTTTTACATCATGCATCATTTACATCATGTTTTTTTGTAGTGGCATAAATAAAAAGTGACATTTGTGAGACTATACAGTGTTTTGCAAATAATTTTACAAAGAACACCTGGGCCATTGCCTGCATTTTGATGTAAATAGAGGTAAATTACTATGTTCTTTGTTAAAAATTTGCATATGTTTTGAAGTTTACAATTTTTATTTGAAGTTTAAGTTTTAAAAACAGTTCATCACACATATTTGTGGTTTTCACAGTAAAAACGTTACTTTTTTGCACTCGGATTTTATGTTTTGTGTGTGAATTTGGGTCCAATGTGTAAATATAGTATGTCAAAATGATAAAATAACTGTAAATTGACACAGGTGAGGTTGTGCTGAAAAAAATGATACCAGGCAAGGCAAGGTAAAAATTTTGTAAGAGGAAATATAAAGGTAAAATCTAAAGTAGTCAAAAACGGCCAATAGTGACTCACAGACTCCACAGACAAGTCCCTTTGGCGCCACTCAGTGGGCAAAACTACTTTGTCTACTGTAATGTATATTTGGGTCATCTTTGGCGCCCCCTAAAACGTAAACCGTGGGGTGCCGCGTCATGATTTTTACAACTTTGAATGGCCATGGAGTGTAGATTGGCCTGAGCAAATTTGGTGTCAGTGGGACGAAAGCCTTAGGAGGAGTTAGCCACATTCCAATGTGTGCGAATCGGCAAAAAATGCAAAATAGCCCTCTAACCATACATTTGACAGATACGCACCCATTGACTTTTTCGTAGATCTAATTGAGATACACGATTGTCAATTTTTGTGTCATTTTGCCAAAGCGTACAGGCGTGACACTCAACAATGTGTATTTTCACCTTAGGGGACAAGAAAAAATGGACTTTTTTCTCCTGCCATGGGGGGGCGCTCTTTTAGGGAGTAAAAATTCCTTCACAAATGTGTTGATGGCTGGACATTGCATCATCCTAGAAAACTTGGAGGCCAGTGAGGACAAAAATAAAAAGTTATAAGACTTTTAAAAATTTGGATTTTTGGGTTATCTTTGGCGCCCCCTAGAACGTAAACCGTGGGGTGCAGCGTCATGATTTGAATAACTTTTAATGGCCATGGGGTGTAATTTGGCCTGAGCAAATGTGGTGCCGGTGGAACGAAAGCCTTCGGAGGAGTTAGCGAAATTCCAATGTGTGCGAATCGGCAAAAAATGCGGAATAACCCTTTAACCGTACATTTGACAGATACGCGCCCATTGAGTTTTTGTAGATCTTATTGAGATACATGTGTGTGTCAATTTTTGTGTCATTTTGACAAAGCGTACAGGCGTGACACTCAACAATGTGTATTTTCACCTTAGGGGACAAGAAAAAATGGACTTTTTTCTCCTGCCATGGGGGGGCGCTCTTTTGGGGAGTAAAAATTCCTTCACAAACGTGTTGATGGCTGGACATTGCATCATCCTAGAAAACTTGGAGGCCAGTGAGGACAAAAATAAAAAGTTATAAGACTTTGAAATATGTGGATTTTAGTGTTATCTTTGGCGCCCCCTAGAACCTAAACCGTGGGGTGCAGCGTCATGATTTGAATAACTTTTAATGGCCATGGGGTGTAGATTGGCCTGAGCAAATGTGGTGCCGGTGGAACGAAAGCCTTCGGAGGAGTTAGCGAAATTCCAATGTGTGCGGATCGGCAAAAAATGCGCAATAACCCTTTAACCGTACATTTGACAGATACGCCCGCACTGACTTTTTTGTAGATCTTATTGAGATACATGTGTGTGTCAATTTTTGTGTCATTTTGACAAAGCGTACAGGCGTCAGGTGAATTTTTCACCTTAGGGGGCGCTATGGAGCCATTTTGCATTTTCTTGTTTGGGCGACTTCGGAATATCAAATTTTTAACCAGGCCCGGTCGTCCTGCCAAATTTCATGAGTTTTCGCCAGTGGGAAGTGGGCCATTTTCCAGTTCAAAGGGGAGGAAAAATAACTAGGGCCCCGTTGGGGCACTGGCGGGCCCGAGCCGCGTTGCGCCGCCCCCAGTGCGACCGCCTCCCCCTCCCGATCGCGTCACACTCAAGGTCCAAAGATGGTGTGCGCACTTGTCTGTGGTCATTTCCCATTATAATGAATGGGAGGCGCAGTTTCTACCAAAACACTCGCTGCAGACAAACTACATGTCCTATTTGAAAAAAGTCTGGACCATGAGTGAGGGCACAAACACAGCTAGGATATATCCAAACGGCAAGTTGCTCCTCGTTACGGTGTTGCCGGGAGAGCGATGCGATTGAGCCATTGAGTGATGGGCAGGAAAAACTTGACTGTTTCTCCTGCCATGGGGGATGGGGGATGGGGGATGGGGGGGGGGGGGGGGATGTGGATTCTTTTAAGAATGTGGATATTTGGGTCATCTTTGGCGCCCCCTAGAACGTAAACCGTGGGGTGCAGCATCATGATTTTTAAAACTTTGAATGGCCATGGGGTGTAGATTGGCCTGAGCAAATTTGGTGTCAGTGGGACGAAAGCCTTAGGAGGAGATAGCCACATTCCAATGTGTGCTAATCGGCAAAAAATGCAAAATAGCCCTTTAACCGTACATTTTACAGATACGCGCGCATTGACTTTTTCGTAGATCTTATTGAGATACATGTGTGTGTCAAATTTTGTGTCAATATGACAAAGCATACAGGTATGACAGTCAACAATGTGTATTTTCACCTTATGGGACAAGAAAAAATGGACTTTTTTCTCCTGCCATGGGGGGGCGCTCTTTTGGCGAGTAAAAATTCCATCAGAAATGTGTTGATGGCTGGACATTGCATCATCCTAGAAAACTTGGAGGCCAGAGAGGACAAAAATAAAAAGTTATAAGACTTTTAAATATGTGGATTTTAGGGTTATCTTTGGCGCCCCCTAGAACCTAAACCGTGGGGTGCAGCGTCATGATTTGAATAACTTTTAATGGCCATGGGGTGTAGATTGGCCTGAGCAAATGTGGTGCCGGTGGAACGAAAGCCTTCGGAGGAGTTAGCGAAATTCCAATGTGTGCGGATCGGCAAAAAATGCGCAATAACCCTTTAACCGTACATTTGACAGATACGCTAGCACTGACTTTTTTGTAGATCTTATTGAGATACATGTGTGTGTCAATTTTTGTGTAATTTTGACAAAGCGTACAGGCGTGACAGTCAATAGTGTAATTTTTCACCTTATGGGACAAGAAAAAATGGACTTTTTTCTCCTGCCATGGGGGGGCGCTCTTTTGGGGAGTAAAAATTCCTTCACAAATGTGTTGATGGCTGGACATTGCATCATCCTAGAAAACTTGGAGGCCAGTGAGGGCAAAAATAAAAAGTTATAAGACTTTGAAATTTGTGGATTTTAGGGTTATCTTTGGCGCCCCCTAGAACCTAAACCGTGGGGTGCAGCGTCATGATTTGAATAACTTTTAATGGCCATGGGGTGTAGATTGGCCTGAGCAAATGTGGTGCCGGTGGAACGAAAGCCTTCGGAGGAGTTAGCGAAATTCCAATGTGTGCGGATCGGCAAAAAATGCGCAATAACCCTTTAACCGTACATTTGACAGATACGCCCGCACTGACTTTTTTGTAGATCTTATTGAGATACATGTGTGTGTCAATTTTTGTGTCATTTTGACAAAGCGTACAGGCGTCAGGTGAATTTTTCACCTTAGGGGGCGCTATGGAGCCATTTTGCATTTTCTTGTTTGGGCGACTTCGGAATATCAAATTTTTCACCAGGCCCGGTCGTCCTGCCAAATTTCATGAGTTTTCGCCAGTGGGAAGTGGGCCATTTTCCAGTTCAAAGGGGAGGAAAAATAATAATAACTAGGGCCCCGTTGGGGCACTGGCGGGCCCGAGCCGTGTCACGCCGCCCCCAGCGCGACCGCCTCCCCCACCCGATCACGTCACACTCAAGGTCCAAAGATGGTGTGCGCACTTGTTTGTGGTCATTTACCATTATAATGAACGGGAGGCGCAGTTTCTACCAAAACGCTCGCTGCAGAAAAACTCCATGTCCTATTTGAAAAAAGTCTGGACCATGAGTGAGGGCACAAACACAGCTAAGATATATCCAAATGGCAAGTTGCTCCTCCTTTCGCTTTTGCCGAGAGAGCAGTGCGTTTGAGCCATTGAATGATGAACAGGAAAAACTTGACTTTATTCTCCTGCCATGGGGGGGCGCTCTTTTAAAGAGAAAAAACTCCTTCACAAATGTGTTGATGGCTGGACATTGCATCATCCTAGAAAACATGGAGGCCAGTGAGGACAAAAATAAAAAGTTATAAGACTTTTAAATATGTGGATATTTGGGTCATCTTTGGCGCCCCCTAGAACGTAAACCATGGGGTGCAGCGGCATGATTTTTACAACTTTGAATGGCCATGGGATGTAGATCGGCTTGAGCAAATTTGGTGTCGGTGGGAAGAAAGCCTTAGGAGGAGTTAGCCACATTCCAATGTGTGCGAATCTGCAAAAAATGCGAAATAGCCCTTTAACCATACATTTTACAGATACGTGCCCATTGACTTTTTCGTAGATCTTGGCGGGCCCGAGCTGTGTCGCGGCCCCCCCCCCCCCAATGCGCTGCCTCCCCGTCCCATTCGCGTCCTCTGGCCATCGTCCTCTCTGGTAACGCCCATCACTGCAAAGACCCTTTTCCTTCATCGGCGTTTGCTGTTCTTCCTGCCAGTGCGTGTTGCTTTCACTTACACTTGCCACAGCCAGCCTCGTGAGTGCCTAGCCTATTGGATATCACTGTCACCTACACAGGACAGTCATTACCTTTCTATTAATACTTTGTTTTTTAATTTCACATTAATTTCCATATTGTATAAACGACTGGAAAAAACTTGAGCCCCTGCCCCTGTATAATCATGTGCACGTCCCTGTTCTCGCTCCAAGGTGAATCTTCACTGCTCATGTTCTCCTCAGAAGCACTCACCTCACTCCCCTCAGGTAACTGTACACATGCACCAACTGCCTGCTTCAGGTTTGGATGGAGCTTCATGGTTGTCTTTTGGAGAAATGACCAGTCAAGTTGTGTTTGAAATTTGATTTTTTTCAGGGGCAAAAGGAGCCTCTGCATTGTTGTCAAATATGTAAATAGCATGTTTTTGCAGGTGCTAAAAAACAGACTCTGAGTGTGTGTGTGTGTGTGTGTGTGTGTGTGTGTGTGTGTGTGTGTGTGTGTGTGTGTGTGTGTGTGTGTCTGTGTTTGTGTGTGTCTGTGTGTGTGTATCCTGCAGTACTCTGTACTCCTGCAGTGGCCAAAACGACTTTTAAGAATGTGGATATTTGGGTCATCTTTGGCGCCCCCTAGAACGTAAACCATGGGGTGCAGCGGCATGATTTTTACAACTTTGAATGGCCATGGGATGTAGATCGGCTTGAGCAAATTTGGTGTCGGTGGGAAGAAAGCCTTAGGAGGAGTTAGCCACATTCCAATGTGTGCGAATCTGCAAAAAATGCGAAATAGCCCTTTAACCATACATTTTACAGATACGTGCCCATTGACTTTTTCGTAGATCTTATTGAGATACACGTGATTGTCAAATTTTGGGTCAATATGACAAAGCGTATAGGCGTGACACTCAACAATGTGTATTTTCACCTTAGGGGACAAGAAAAAATGGACTTTTTTCTCCTGCCATGTGGGGGCGCTCTTTTGGGGAGTAAAAATTCCTTCACAAATGTGTTGATGGCTGGACATTGCATCATCCTAGAGAACTTGGAGGCCAGTGAGGACAAAAATAAAAAGTTATAAGACTTTTAAGACTGTGGATTTTTGGGTTATCTTTGGCGCCCCCTAGAACGTAAACTGTGGGGTGCAGCGTCATGATTTGTACAACTTTTAATGGCCATGGGGTGTAGATTGGCCTGAGCAAATGTGGTGCCGGTGGAACGAATGCCTTCGGAGGAGTTAGCGAAATTCCAATGTGTGCAGATCGGCAAAAAATGCGAAATAACCCTCTAACTGTACATTTCACAGATGCGCCCGCGCTGACTTTTTCGTAGAACGTATTGAGATACACGTGTGTGTCAATTTTTGTGTCAATATGACAAAGCGTACAGGCGTGACAGTCAATAGTGTGAATTTTCGCCTTAGGGGGCGCTATGGAGCCATTTTGCATTTTATTGTTTGGGCGACTTCAGAATATCGAATTTTTCACCAGGCCCGGTCGTCCTGCCAAATTTCATGAGTTTTCGCCAGTGGGAAGTCGGCCATTTTCCAGTTTAAAGCGGAGGAAAAATAATAATAATAACAAAAGAAGAATCCATCAGGAACAAGAGGGCTCTCGCAGCTGCTTAGCAGCTACGCTCGGGCCCTAAAGAAGGAAACTACAGGAACAAGAGGGCTCTCGCAGCTGCTTAGCAGCTACGCTCGGGCCCTAACAAAAGAAGGAAACATGCAGGAACAAGAGGGCTCTCGCAGCTGCTTAGCAGCTACGCTCGGGCCCTAATAATAACACTAGGACCCCGTTGGGGCACTGGCGGGCCCGAGCTGTGTCGCGTCCCCCCCCCAACGCGCTGCCTCCCCGTCCCATTTGTGTCCTCTGGCCATCGCCCTCTCTGGTAACGCCCATCACTGCAAAGACCCTTTTCCTTCATCGGCGTTTGCTGTTCTTCCTGCCAGTGCGTGTTGCTTTCACTTACACTTGCCACAGCCAGCCTCGTGAGTGCCTAGCCTATTGGATATCAATGTCACCTACACAGGACAGTCATTACCTTTCTATTAATACTTTGTGTTTTAATTTCACATTAATTTCCATATTGTATAAACAACTGGTAAAAACTTGAGCCCCTGCCCCTGTATAATCATGTGCACGTCTCTGTTCTAGCTCTAAGGTGAATCTTCACTGCTCATGTTCTCCTCAGAAGCAGTCACCTCACTCCCCTCAGGTTACTGTACACATGCATCAACTGCCTGCTTCAGGTTTGGATGGAGCTTCATGGTTGTCTTTTGGAGAAATGACCAGTCAAGTTGTGTTTGAAATTTGATTTTTTTCAGGGGCAAAAGGAGCCTCTGCATTCTTGTCAAATATGTAAATAGCATGTTTTTGCAGGTGCTAAAAACCAGACTCTGAGTGTGTGTGTGTGCGTGTGTGTGTGTGTCTGTGTGTGTGTGTGTGTGTGTGTGTGTGTGTGTGTGTGTGTGTGTGTGTGTGTGCGTTCAAGTCACATGACATATTTAACCGGATGTAGCTGCAAGACGGAGCCTCGTTGACTCTCCATTTCAACTTATCTCAAAAGTGAGGACCTCAACCTATATACCAGTTTTTAAATTGTGTTGATAGGCCAAATAAAACCAGAGTTATGATAAATTATGTCCGCGATACTTGTTTTCTGCTTATTTTGATCACGTTCGGCGCTCGATCGCGCTGTATGAGACAGGAAAACATAGCATGCAGACATTAGCGACAGGTCTTACAGGCGGAAAAGGCTTGCCAAAGGAAAAAAAAAACACACCACAACATCTCTCCTATTGGTGGAAAACTTCACCACAACAACCAATCCAAAATTATATGGTGACTGATTGACAAGGGGCGGGCGCTTACGTTCTTCCTGCAATATGAGAAGGGAGGGAGGGACTCTCAGCAGGGATGCAGTCTGGGACACGTAGTTGCAAACCTAGCGACTTTGTTGTTAGATTCAATGACTTTTCAGACCCCCTAACGACGTTTTTTTAGAAAGAAAGTGACTTTTATCGACTTCTTCTGGAGTTTAGAGACTCTGACATGAAGCAGGCTTTCCTTACTGAGGAGTTAGCAACGCTGCTAAGGGTGCAGAGCCACACATGCGCTCCGAGCTCTGCATGGGAGACTGAAGCTGACAGAGCTGCAGCAGTTAGCAGGTTTCACCCTCAGAGACCACCAGGGGTTCATGTTGAGGCATTTTCAGTTTTTTTTTTTTTTTTGCCATAGACACTGTCAGCACAATCTGCAGTTACACTAACAAAAATGCTGCAAAAAACAAAGAATTATGGAAAAATTACACATGGACTGACATAGAGGAGGATCTACACAAGTTTTTTACATCATGTTTTACATCATGCATCATTTACATCATGTTTTTTTGTAGTGGCATAAATAAAAAGTGACATTTGTGAGACTATACAGTGTTTTGTAAATAATTTTACAAAGAACACCTGGGCCATTGCCTGCATTTTGATGTAAATAGAGGTAAATTACTATGTTCTTTGTTAAAAATTTGCATATGTTTTGAAGTTTACAATTTTTATTTGAAGTTTAAGTTTTAAAAACAGTTCATCACACATATTTGTGGTTTTCACAGTAAAAACGTTACTTTTTTGCACTCGGATTTTATGTTTTGTGTGTGAATTTGGGTCCAATGTGTAAATATAGTATGTCAAAATGATAAAATAACTGTAAATTGACACAGGTGAGGTTGTGCTGAAAAAAATGATACCAGGCAAGGCAAGGTAAAAATTTTGTAAGAGGAAATATAAAGGTAAAATCTAAAGTAGTCAAAAACGGCCAATAGTGACTCACAAACTCCACAGACAAGTCCCTTTGGCGCCACTCAGTGGGCAAAACTACTTTGTCTACTGTAATGTATATTTGGGTCATCTTTGGCGCCCCCTAAAACGTAAACCGTGGGGTGCCGCGTCATGATTTTTACAACTTTGAATGGCCATGGAGTGTAGATTGGCCTGAGCAAATTTGGTGTCAGTGGGACGAAAGCCTTAGGAGGAGTTAGCCACATTCCAATGTGTGCGAATCGGCAAAAAATGCAAAATAGCCCTCTAACCATACATTTGACAGATACGCACCCATTGACTTTTTCGTAGATCTAATTGAGATACACATGATTGTCAATTTTTGTGTCATTTTGCCAAAGCGTACAGGCGTGACAGTCAACAATGTGTATTTTCACCTTAGGGGACAAGAAAAAATGGACTTTTTTCTCCTGCCATGGGGGGGCGCTCTTTTAGGGAGTAAAAATTCCTTCACAAATGTGTTGATGGCTGGACATTGCATCATCCTAGAAAACTTGGAGGCCAGTGAGGACAAAAATAAAAAGTTATAAGACTTTTAAAAATTTGGATTTTTGGGTTATCTTTGGCGCCCCCTAGAACGTAAACCGTGGGGTGCAGCGTCATGATTTGAATAACTTTTAATGGCCATGGGGTGTAATTTGGCCTGAGCAAATGTGGTGCCGGTGGAACGAAAGCCTTCGGAGGAGTTAGCGAAATTCCAATGTGTGCGAATCGGCAAAAAATGCGGAATAACCCTTTAACCGTACATTTGACAGATACGCGCCCATTGAGTTTTTGTAGATCTAATTGAGATACACATGATTGTCAATTTTTGTGTCATTTTGACAAAGCGTACAGGCGTGACACTCAACAATGTGTATTTTCACCTTAGGGGACAAGAAAAAATGGACTTTTTTCTCCTGCCATGGGGGGGCGCTCTTTTGGGGAGTAAAAATTCCTTCACAAACGTGTTGATGGCTGGACATTGCATCATCCTAGAAAACTTGGAGGCCAGTGAGGACAAAAATAAAAAGTTATAAGACTTTGAAATATGTGGATTTTAGTGTTATCTTTGGCGCCCCCTAGAACCTAAACCGTGGGGTGCAGCGTCATGATTTGAATAACTTTTAATGGCCATGGGGTGTAGATTGGCCTGAGCAAATGTGGTGCCGGTGGAACGAAAGCCTTAGGAGGAGTTAGCCACATTCCAATGTGTGCGGATCGGCAAAAAATGCGGAATAACCCTTTAACCGTACATTTGACAGATACGCGCGCATTGACTTTTTCGTAGATCTTATTGAGTTACATGTGTGTGTCAATTTTTGTGTCATTTTGACAAAGCGTATAGGCGTGACACTCAACAATGTGTATTTTCACCTTAGGGGACAAGAAAAAATGGACTTTTTTCTTCTGCCATGGGGGGGCGCTCTTTTGGGGAGTAAAAATTCCTTCACAAATGTGTTGATGGCTGGACATTGCATCATCCTAGAAAACTTGGAGGCCAGTGAGGAGAAAAATAAAAAGTTATAAGACTTTTAAATATGTGGATTTTAGTGTTATCTTTGGCGCCCCCTAGAACCTAAACCTTGGGGTGCAGCGTCATGATTTTGATAACTTTTAATGGCCACGGGGTGTAGATTGGCCTGAGCAAATGTGGTGCCGGTGGAACGAAAGCCTTCGGAGGAGTTAGCGAAATTCCAATGTGTGCGGGTCGGCAAAAAATGCGCAATAACCCTTTAACCATACATTTGACAGATACGGCCGCACTGACTTTTTTGTAGATCTTATTAAGATACATATGTGTGTCAATTTTTGTGTCAATATGACAAAGCGTAAAGGCGTGACAGTCAATAGTGTGAATTTTCACCTTAGGGGGCGCTATGGAGCCATTTTGCATTTTATTGTTTGGGCGACTTCGGAATATCAAATTTTTCACCAGGCCCGGTCATCCTGCCAAATTTCATGAGTTTTCGCCAGTGGGAAGTGGGCCATTTTCCAGTTCAAAGGGGAGGAAAAAGAAGAAAGAAAGAAACAAAGAAAAACCCCTTGGGGAATAATAGGGCTCTCGCAGCTGCTTAGCAGCTACGCTCGGGCCCTAACTAGGACCCCGTTGGGGCACTGGCGGGCCCGAGCCGTGTCGCGTCCCCCCCCCAATGTGCTGCCTCCCCGTCCCATTTGTGTCCTCTGGCCATCGCCCTCTCTGGTAACGCCCATCACTGCAAAGACCCATTTCCTTCATCGGCGTTTGCTGTTCTTCCTGCCAGTGCGTGTTGCTTTCACTTACACTTGCCACAGCCAGCCTCGTGAGTGCCTAGCCTATTGGATATCACTGTCACCTACACAGGACAGTCATTACCTTTCTATTAATACTTTGTGTTTTAATTTCACATTAATTTCCATATTGTATAAACGACTGGAAAAAACTTGAGCCCCTGCCCCTGTATAATCATGTGCATGTCTCTGTTCTAGCTCCAAGGTGAATCTTCACTGCTCATGTTCTCCTCAGAAGCACTCACCTCACTCCCCTCAGGTTACTGTACACATGCACCAACTGCCTGCTTCAGGTTTGGATGGAGCTTCATGGTTGTCTTTTGGAGAAATGACCAGTCAAGTTGTGTTTGAAATTTGATTTTTTTCAGGGGCAAAAGGAGCCTCTGCATTCTTGTCAAATATGTAAATAGCATGTTTTTGCAGGTGCTAAAAACCAGACTCTGAGTGTGTGTGTGTGTGTGTGTGTGTGTGTGTGTGTGTGTGTGTGTGCGTGTGTGTGTGTCTGTGTGTGCGTTCAAGTCACATGACATATTTAACCGGATGTAGCTGCAAGACGGAGCCTCGTTGACTCTCCGTTTCAACTTATCTCAAAAGTGAGGACCTCAACCTATATACCAGTTTTTAAATTGTGTTGATAGGCCAAATAAAACCAGAGTTATGATAAATTATGTCCGCGATACTTTTTTTCTGCTTATTTTGATCACGTTCGGCGCTCGATCGCGCTGTATGAGACAGGAAAACATAGCATGCAGACATTAGCGACAGCTCTTACAGGCGGAAAAGGCTTGCCAAAAGAAAAAAAAAACACACCACAACATCTCTCCTATTGGTGGAAAACTTCACCAAAACAACCAATCCAAAATTATATGGTGACTGATTGACAAGGGGCGGGCGCTTACGTTCTTCCTGCAACATGAGAAGGGAGGGAGGGACTCTCAGCAAGGATGCAGTCTGGGACACGTAGTTGCAAACCTAGCGACTTTGTTGTTAGATTCAATGACTTTTCAGACCCCCTAACGACTTTTTTTTTGAAACAAAGGGACTTTTATCGACTTCTTCTGGAGTTTAGAGACTCTGACATGAAGCAGGCTTTCCTTACTGAGGAGTTAGCAACGCTGCTAAGGGTGCAGAGCCACACATGCGCTCCGAGCTCTGCATGGGAGACTGAAGCTGACAGAGCTGCAGCAGTTAGCAGGTTTCACCCTCAGAGACCACCAGGGGTTCATGTTGAGGCATTTTAATTTTTTTTTTTTTTGTGTGCCATAGACACTGTCAGCACAATCTGCAGTTACACTAACAAAAATGCTGCAAAAAACAAAGAATTATGGAAAAATTACACATGGACTGACATAGAGGAGGATCTACACAAGTTTTTTACATCATGTTTTACATCATGCATCATTTACATCATGTTTTTTTGTAGTGGCATAAATAAAAAGTGACATTTGTGAGACTATACAGTGTTTTGTAAATAATTTTACAAAGAACGCCTGGGCCATTGCCTGCATTTTGATGTAAATAGAGGTAAATCACTATGTTCTTTGTTAAAAATTTGCATATGTTTTGAAGTTTACAATTTTTATTTGAAGTTTAAGTTTTAAAAACAGTTCATCACACATATTTGTGGTTTTCACAGTAAAAATGTTACTTTTTTCCACTCGGATTTTATGTTTTGTGTGTGAATTTGGGTCCATTGTGTAAATTCAGTATGTCAACATGATAAAATAACTGTAAATTCGCACAGGTGAGGTTGTGCTGAAAAAAATGATACCAGGCAAGGCACGTGATTGTCAAATTTTGTGTCAATATGACAAAGCGTATAGGCGTGAATCTCAACAATATGTATTTTCACCTTAGGGGACAAGAAAAAATGGACTTTTTTCTCCTGCCATGGGGGGGCGCTCTTTTGGGGAGTAAAAATTCCTTCACAAATGTGTTGATGGCTGGACATTGCATCATCCTAGAAAACTTGGAGGCCAGTGAGGACAAAAATAAAAAGTTATAAGACTTTTAAATATGTGGATTTTAGGGTTATCTTTGGCGCCCCCTAGAACCTAAACCGTGGGGTGCAGCGTCATGATTTTGATAACTTTTAATGGCCATGGGGTGTAGATTGGCCTGAGCAAATGTGGTGCCGGTGGAACGAAAGCCTTAGGAGGAGTTAGCCACATTCCAATGTGTGCGGATCGGCAAAAAATGCGGAATAACCCTTTAACCGTACATTTGACAGATACGCGTGCATTGACTTTTTCGTAGATCTTATTGAGTTACATGTGTGTGTCAATTTTTGTGTCATTTTGACAAAGCGTATAGGCGTGACACTCAACAATGTGTATTTTCACCTTAGGGGACAAGAAAAAATTGACTTTTTTCTCCTGCCATGGGGGGGCGCTCTTTTGGGGAGTAAAAATTCCTTCACAAATGTGTTGATGGCTGGACATTGCATCATCCTAGAAAACTTGGAGGCCAGTGAGGACAAAAATAAAAAGTTATAAGACTTTTAAATATGTGGATTTTAGTGTTATCTTTGGCGCCCCCTAGAACCTAAACCTTGGGGTGCAGCGTCATGATTTTGATAACTTTTAATGGCCACGGGGTGTAGATTGGCCTGAGCAAATGTGGTGCCGGTGGAACGAAAGCCTTCGGAGGAGTTAGCGAAATTCCAATGTGTGCGGATCGGCAAAAAATGCGAAATAACCCTTTAACCGTAATTTTGACAGATACGGCCGCACTGACTTTCTTGTAGATCTTATTGAGATACATATGTGTGTCAATTTTTGTGTCAATATGACAAAGCAAACAGGCGTGACAGTCAATAGTGTGAATTTCCACCTTAGGGGGCGCTATGGAGCCATTTTGCATTTTATTGTTTGGGCGACTTCAGAATATCGAATTTTTCACCAGGCCCGGTCGTCCTGCCAAATTTCATGAGTTTTCGCCAGTGGGAAGTGGGCCATTTTCCAGTTCAAAGGGGAGGAAAAAGAAGAATGAAAGGGGATACCGTGCTTCCTAAAAATGGACCCCAGCGGTAGCATGTAGAGGGAGAACAGTAAAGGGCCCAGGACTGACCCCTGGGGAACACCGCATGTCAGAGGGGCAACGGAGGAGGAAAACTGTCCCATGTAAACAGAGAAGGATCTCCCAGAGAGGTAAGATTTGAACCAGCTTAGGGCAGTCCCTTTTATGCCAACACAGGCGAGATATGAGGATTGAATGATCCACTGTATCAAATGCCGCTGTTAGGTCGAGGAGAATTAAAATGACACAGTTTCCAGAGTCCAGATTTAACAAAAGATAATTAAAAACCTTTAAAAGAGCAGTTTCAGTGCTGTGAAGAGACTTAAAACCAGACTGAAACAATTTGGAAACATTGGCCCTCTGTAAAAACTCTTGGAGTTGGTTAAAAACGACTTTCTCTAAAACCTTGGAAATAAAAGGAAGTTTAGAAATAGGCCTAAAATTAGATAAAATCAAGGGATCCAGATTTTTATTTTTCAGGAGGGGCTGCACCATGGCATGTTTGAAAGAAGATGGAACACACCCAGAGCTGAGACACTGATTTAAAAGAAGTAAAATAAAAGACTGAACTGAGGTGAAAACTTCCTTAAACAAACGGGATGGAATGCTGTCAGAGGGGCAGTTAGCAGGACGGAAGTGTTCCACTATCTCAGTGATTGCGGAGAGAGTAACAGGCTCAAACTGTTGAAAGACCGCAGAGCCTGCTGAAGGAACTGAGGGATCCTGAGCAGAAAGAGAGAGTGGGGACCTAAGAACAGCAATCAAACTGCAGGAAATCCTCACACAGCAATGAAGAGGGCTCAACACAAGCAGCATCGCACGGATTGACAAGAGCATCAAATACATTAACTAGGACCCCGGTGGGGCACTGTCGGGCCCGAGCCGCGTCGCGCCGCCCCCAGCGCGACCGCCTCCCCCTCCCGATCGCGTCACACTCAAGGTCCAAAGATGGTGTGCGCACTTGTCTGTGGTCATTTCCCATTATAATGAATGCGAGGCGCAGTTTCTACCAAAACACTCGCTGCAGACAAACTTCATGTCCTATTTGAAAAAAGTCTGGACCATGAGTGAGGGCACAAACACAGCTAGGATATATCCAAATGGCAGGTTGCTCCTCGTTACGGTGTTGCCGGGAGAGTGATGCGATTGAGCCATTGAGTGATGGGCAGGAAAAACTTGACTGTTTCTCCTGCCATGGGGGTTGGGGGATGGGGGGGGGGGGTGGATTCTTTTAAGAATGTGGATATTTGGGTCATCTTTGGCGCCCCCTAGAACGTAAACCGTGGGGTGCAGCGTCATGATTTTTACAACTTTGAATGGCCATGGGGTGTAGATTGGCCTGAGCAAATTTGGTGTCAGTGGGACGAAAGCCTTAGGAGGAGTTAGCCACATTCCAATGTGTGCGAATCGGCAAAAAATGCAAAATAGCCCTTTAACCGTACATTTTACAGATACGCGCGCATTGACTTTTTCGTAGATCTTATTGAGATACATGTGATTGTCAAATTTTGTGTCAATATGACAAAGCGTACAGGTATGACAGTCAACAATGTGTTTTTTCACCTTAGGGGACAAGAAAAAATGGACTTTTTTCTCCTGCCATGGGGGGCGCTCTTTTGGGGAGTAAAAATTCCTTCACAAATGTGTTGATGGCTGGACATTGCATCATCCTAGAAAACTTGGAGGCCAGTGAGGACAAAAATAAAAAGTTATAAGACTTTTAAATATGTGGATTTTAGTGTTATCTTTGGCGCCCCCTAGAACCTAAACCTTGGGGTGCAGCGTCATGATTTTGATAACTTTTAATGGCCACGGGGTGTAGATTGGCCTGAGCAAATGTGGTGCCGGTGGAACGAAAGCCTTCGGAGGAGTTAGCGAAATTCCAATGTGTGCGGATCGGCAAAAAATGCGAAATAACCCTTTAACCGTACATTTGACAGATACGCCCGCGCTGACTTTTTTGTAGATCTTATTGAGATACATGTGTGTGTCAATTTTTGTGTCATTTTGACAAAGCGTACAGGCGTGACAGTGAATAGTGTGAATTTTCACCTTAGGGGGCGCTATGGAGCCATTTTGCATTTTATTGTTTGGGCGACTTCGGAATATCAAATTTTTCACCAGGCCCGGTCGTCCTGCCAAATTTCATGAGTTTTCGCCAGTGGGAAGTGGGCCATTTTCCAGTTCAAAGGGGAGGAAAAAGAAACTAGGGCCCCGGTGGGGCACTGTCGGGCCCGAGCCGCGTTGCGCCGCCCCCAGCGCGACCGCCTCCCCCTCCTGAACGCGTCACACTCAAGGTCCAAAGATGGTGTGCGCACTTGTCTGTGGTCATTTCCCATTATAATGAATGCGAGGCGCAGTTTCTACCAAAACACTCGCTGCAGACAAACTTCATGTCCTATTTGAAAAAAGTCTGGACCATGAGTGAGGGCACAAACACAGCTAGGATATATCCAAATGGCAGGTTGCTCCTCGTTACGGTGTTGCCGGGAGAGTGATGCGATTGAGCCATTGAGTGATGGGCAGGAAAAACTTGACTGTTTCTCCTGCCATGGGGGTTGGGGGATGGGGGGGTGGATTCTTTTAAGAATGTGGATATTTGGGTCATCTTTGGCGCCCCCTAGAACGTAAACCGTGGGGTGCAGCGTCATGATTTTTACAACTTTGAATGGCCATGGGGTGTAGATTGGCCTGAGCAAATTTGGTGTCAGTGGGACGAAAGCCTTAGGAGGAGTTAGCCACATTCCAATGTGTGCGAATCGGCAAAAAATGCAAAATAGCCCTTTAACCGTACATTTTACAGATACGCGCGCATTGACTTTTTCGTAGATCTTATTGAGATACATGTGATTGTCAAATTTTGTGTCAATATGACAAAGCGTACAGGTATGACAGTCAACAATGTGTTTTTTCACCTTAGGGGACAAGAAAAAATGGACTTTTTTCTCCTGCCATGGGGGGGCGCTCTTTTGGGGAGTAAAAATTCCTTCACAAATGTGTTGATGGCTGGACATTGCATCATCCTAGAAAACTTGGAGGCCAGTGAGGACAAAAATAAAAAGTTATAAGACTTTTAAATATGTGGATTTTAGTGTTATCTTTGGCGCCCCCTAGAACCTAAACCTTGGGGTGCAGCGTCATGATTTTGATAACTTTTAATGGCCACGGGGTGTAGATTGGCCTGAGCAAATGTGGTGCCGGTGGAACGAAAGCCTTCGGAGGAGTTAGCGAAATTCCAATGTGTGCGGATCGGCAAAAAATGCAAAATAACCCTTTAACCGTAATTTTCACAGATACGGCCGCACTGACTTTTTTGTAGATCTTATTGAGATACATGTGTGTGTCAATTTTTGTGTCATTTTGACAAAGCGTACAGGCGTGACAGTGAATAGTGTGAATTTTCACCTTAGGGGGCGCTATGGAGCCATTTTGCATTTTCTTGTTTGGGCGACTTCGGAATATCAAATTTTTCACCAGGCCCGGTCGTCCTGCCAAATTTCATGAGTTTTCGCCAGTGGGAAGTGGGCCATTTTCCAGTTCAAAGGGGAGGAAAAAGAAACTAGGGCCCCGGTGGGGCACTGTCGGGCCCGAGCCGCGTTGCGCCGCCCCCAGCGCGACCGCCTCCCCCTCCTGAACGCGTCACACTCAAGGTCCAAAGATGGTGTGCGCACTTGTCTGTGGTCATTTCCCATTATAATGAATGGGAGGCGCAGTTTCTACCAAAACACTCGCTGCAGACAAACTACATGTCCTATTTGAAAAAAGTCTGGACCATGAGTGAGGGCACAAACACAGCTAGGATATATCCAAACGGCAAGTTGCTCCTCGTTACGGTGTTGCCGGGAGAGTGATGCGATTGAGCCATTGAGTGATGGGCAGGAAAAACTTGACTGTTTCTCCTGCCATGGGTGTTGGGTGATGGGGGGGGGGGGGATGTGGATTCTTTTAAGAATGTGGATATTTGGGTCATCTTTGGCGCCCCCTAGAACGTAAACCGTGGGGTGCAGCGTCATGATTTTTAAAACTTTGAATGGCCATGGGGTGTAGATTGGCCTGAGCAAATTTGGTGTCAGTGGGACGAAAGCCTTAGGAGGAGTTAGCGAAATTCCAATGTGTGCGAATCGGCAAAAAATGCAAAATAGCCCTTTTACCGTACATTATACAGATACGCGCTCTTTGACTTTTTCGTAGATCTAATTGAGATACACATGATTGTCAATTTTTGTGTCATTTTGCCAAAGCGTACAGGCGTGACAGTCAACAATGTGTATTTTCACCTTAGGGGACAAGAAAAAATGGACTTTTTTCTCCTGCCATGGGGGGGCGCTCTTTTGGGGAGTAAAAATTCCTTCACAAATGTGTTGATGGCTGGACATTGCATCATCCTAGAAAACTTGGAGGCCAGTGAGGACAAAAATAAAAAGTTATAAAACATTTAAGAATGTGGATTTTTGGGTTATTTTTGGCGCCCCCTAGAACCTAAACCATGGGGTGCAGCATCATGATTTGAATAACTTTTAATGGCCATGGGGTGTAGATTGGCCTGAGCAAATGTGGTGCCGGTGGAACGAAAGCCTTCGGAGGAGTTAGCGAAATTCCAATGTGTGCGGATCGGCAAAAAATGCGAAATAACCCTTTAACCGTAATTTTGACAGATACGGCCGCACTGACTTTTTTGTAGATCTTATTGAGATACATATGTGTGTCAATTTTTGTGTCAATATGACAAAGCGTACAGGCGTGACAGTCAATAGTGTGAATTTCCACCTTAGGGGGCGCTATGGAGCCATTTTGCATTTTATTGTTTGGGCGACTTCAGAATATCGAATTTTTCACCAGGCCCGGTCGTCCTGCCAAATTTCATGAGTTTTCGCCAGTGGGAAGTGGGCCATTTTCCAGTTCAAAGGGGAGGAAAAAGAAGAAAGAAAGAAAGAAAGAAAGAAAGAACTAGGGCCCCGTTGGGGCACTGGCGGGCCCGAGCCACGTTGCGCCGCCCCCAGTGCGACCGCCTCCCCCTCCCGATCGTGTCACACTCAAGGTCCAAAGATGGTGTGCGCACTTGTCTGTGGTCATTTCCCATTATAATGAATGGGAGGCGCAGTTTCTACCAAAACACTCGCTGCAGACAAACTACATGTCCTATTTGAAAAAAGTCTGGACCATGAGTGAGGGCACAAACACAGCTAGGATATATCCAAACGGCAAGTTGCTCCTCGTTACGGTGTTGCCGGGAGAGCGATGCGATTGAGCCATTGAGTGATGGGCAGGAAAAACTTGACTGTTTCTCCTGCCATGGGGGATGGGGGATGGGGGATGGGGGATGGGGGGGGGGGGGGGATGTGGATTCTTTTAAGAATGTGGATATTTGGGTCATCTTTGGCGCCCCCTAGAACGTAAACCGTGGGGTGCAGCGTCATGATTTTTAAAACTTTGAATGGCCATGGGGTGTAGATTGGCCTGAGCAAATTTGGTGTCAGTGGGACGAAAGCCTTAGGAGGAGTTAGCCACATTCCAATGTGTGCTAATCGGCAAAAAATGCAAAATAGCCCTTTAACCGTACATTTTACAGATACGCGCGCATTGACTTTTTCGTAGATCTTATTGAGATACATGTGTGTGTCAAATTTTGTGTCAATATGACAAAGCATACAGGTATGACAGTCAACAATGTGTATTTTCACCTTATGGGACAAGAAAAAATGGACTTTTTTCTCCTGCCATGGGGGGGCGCTCTTTTGGGGAGTAAAAATTCCTTCACAAATGTGTTGATGGCTGGACATTGCATCATCCTAGAAAACTTGGAGGCCAGTGAGGACAAAAATAAAAAGTTATAAGACTTTTAAATATGTGGATTTTAGGGTTATCTTTGGCGCCCCCTAGAACCTAAACCGTGGGGTGCAGCGTCATGATTTGAATAACTTTTAATGGCCATGGGGTGTAGATTGGCCTGAGCAAATGTGGTTCTGGTGGAACGAAAGCCTTCGGAGGAGTTAGCGAAATTCCAATGTGTGCGGATCGGCAAAAAATGCGCAATAACCCTTTAACCTTACATTTGACAGATACGCCCGCACTGACTTTTTTGTAGATCTTATTGAGATACATGTGTGTGTCAATTTTTGTGTAATTTTGACAAAGCGTACAGGCGTGACAGTCAATAGTGTGAATTTTCACCTTATGGGACAAGAAAAAATGGACTTTTTTCTCCTGCCATGGGGGGGCGCTCTTTTGGGGAGTAAAAATTCCTTCACAAATGTGTTGATGGCTGGACATTGCATCATCCTAGAAAACTTGGAGGCCACTGAGGGCAAAAATAAAAAGTTATAAGACTTTGAAATATGTGGATTTTAGGGTTATTTTTGGCGCCCCCTAGAACCTAAACCGTGGGGTGCAGCGTCATGATTTGAATAACTTTTAATGGCCATGGGGTGTAGATTGGCCTGAGCAAATGTGGTGCCGGTGGAACGAAAGCCTTCGGAGGAGTTAGCGAAATTCCAATGTGTGCGGATCGGCAAAAAATGCGCAATAACCCTTTAACCGTACATTTGACAGATACGCCCGCACTGACTTTTTTGTAGATCTTATTGAGATACATGTGTGTGTCAATTTTTGTGTAATTTTGACAAAGCGTACAGGCGTCAGGTGAATTTTTCACCTTAGGGGGCGCTATGGAGCCATTTTGCATTGTATTGTTTGGGCGACTTCAGAATATCGAATTTTTCACCAGGCCCGGTCGTCCTGCCAAATTTCCTGAGTTTTCGCCAGTGGGAAGTGGGCCATTTTCCAGTTTAAAGGGGAGGAAAAATAATAATAACAAAAGAAGGAAACATGCAGGAACAAGAGGGCTCTCGCAGCTGCTTAGCAGCTACGCTCGGGCCCTAAAGAAAGAAACAAAGAAAAACCACTTGGGGAATAATAGGGCCTACGCCCGGCTGCTCTGCAGCTGGCTCGGGCCCTAAAGAAAGAAAGAAAGAAAGAAAGAAACAAAGAAAAACCACTTGGAGAATAATAGGGCTCTCGCAGCTGCTTAGCAGCTACGCTCGGGCCCTAACTAGGACCCCGTTGGGGCACTGGCGGGCCCGAGCTGTGTCGCGTCCCCCCCCCAACGCGCTGCCTGCCCGTCCCATTTGTGTCCTCTGGCCATCGCCCTCTTTGGTAACGCCCATCACTGCAAAGACCCTTTTCCTTCATCGGCGTTTGCTGTTCTTCCTGCCAGTGCGTGTTGCTTTCACTTACACTTGCCACAGCCAGCCTCGTGAGTGCCTAGCCTATTGGATATCACTGTCACCTACACAGGACAGTCATTACCTTTCTATTAATACTTTGTTTTTTAATTTCACATTAATTTCCATATTGTATAAACAACTGGAAAAAACTTGAGCCCCTGCCCCTGTATAATCATGTGCACGTCTCTGTTCTAGCTCTAAGGTGAATCTTCACTGCTCATGTTCTCCTCAGAAGCAGTCACCTCACTCCCCTCAGGTTACTGTACACATGCACCAACTGCCTGCTTCAGGTTTGGATGGAGCTTCATGGTTGTCTTTTGGAGAAATGACCAGTCAAGTTGTGTTTGAAATTTGATTTTTTTCAGGGGCAAAAGGAGCCTCTGCATTCTTGTCAAATATGTAAATAGCATGTTTTTGCAGGTGCTAAAAACCAGACTCTGAGTGTGTATGTGTGCGTGTGTGTGTGTGTCTGTATGTGTGTGTGTGTGTGTGTGTGTGTGCGTTCAAGTCACATGACATATTTAACCGGATGTAGCTGCAAGACGGAGCCTCGTTGACTCTCCGTTTCAATTTATCTCAAAAGTGAGGACCTCAACCTATATACCAGTTTTTAAATTGTGTTGATAGGCCAAATAAAACCAGAGTTATGATAAATTATGTCCGCGATACTTGTTTTCTGCTTATTTTGATCACGTTCGGCGCTCGATCGCGCTGTATGAGACAGGAAAACATAGCATGCAGACATTAGCGACAGGTCTTACAGGCGGAAAAGGCTTGCCAAAGGAAAAAAAAAACACACCACAACATCTCTCCTATTGGTGGAAAACTTCACCACAACAACCAATCCAAAATTATATGGTGACTGATTGACAAGGGGCGGGAACTTACGTTCTTCCTGCAATATGAGAAGGGAGGGAGGGACTCTCAGCAGGGATGCAGTCTGGGACACGTAGTTGCAAACCTAGCGACTTTGTTGTTAGATTCAATGACTTTTCAGACCCCCTAACGACTTTTTTTTAGAAAGAAAGTGACTTTTATCGACTTCTTCTGGAGTTTAGAGACTCTGACATGAAGCAGGCTTTCCTTACTGAGGAGTTAGCAACGCTGCTAAGGGTGCAGAGCCACACATGCGCTCCGAGCTCTGCATGGGAGACTGAAGCTGACAGAGCTGCAGCAGTTAGCAGGTTTCACCCTCAGAGACCACCAGGGGTTCATGTTGAGGCATTTTAAAAAAATTTTTTGTGTGCCATAGACACTGTCAGCACAATCTGCAGTTACACTAACAAAAATGCTGCAAAAAACAAAGAATTATGGAAAAATTACACATGGACTGACATAGAGGAGGATCTACACAAGTTTTTTACATCATGTTTTACATCATGCATCATTTACATCATGTTTTTTTGTAGTGGCATAAATAAAAAGTGACATTTGTGAGACTATACAGTGTTTTGTAAATAATTTTACAAAGAACGCCTGGGCCATTGCCTGCATTTTGATGAAAATAGAGGTAAATCACTATGTTCTTTGTTTAAAATTTGCATATGTTTTGAAGTTTACAATTTTTATTTGAAGTTTAAGTTTTAAAAACAGTTCATCACACATATTTGTGGTTTAATTTCACATTAATTTCCATATTATATAAATGACTGGAAAAAACTTGAGCCCCTGCCCCTGTATAATCATGTGCACGTCCCTGTTCTAGCTCCAAGGTGAATCTTCACTGCTCATGTTCTCCTCAGAAATAGTCACCTCACTCCCCTCAGGTTACTGTACACATGCACCAACTATCTGCTTCAGGTTTGAAATGGAGCTTCATGGTTGTCTTTTGGAGAAATGAACAGTCAAGTTGTGTTTGAAATTTGATTTTTTTCAGGGGCAAAAGGAAGCCTCTGCATTCTTGTCAAATATGTAAACAGCATGTTTTTGCAGGTGCTAAAAAACAGACTCTGAGTGTGTGTGTGAATCTGTGTGTGTGTGTGTGTGTGTGTGTGTGTGTGTGTATGTTGGCGTGTGTGTATATGTGTGTGTATCCTGCAGTACTCTGTACTCCTGCAGTGGCCAAAAAGACTTTTAAGAATGTGGATTTTTGGGTCATCTTTGGCGCCCCCTAGAACTGCAGTACTCTGTACTCCTGCAGTGGCCAAAATGACTTTTAAGAATGTGGATTTTTGGGTCATCTTTGGCGCCCCCTAGAACGTAAACCGTGGGGTGCAGCGTCATGATTTTTACAACTTTGAATGGGCATGGGGTGTAGATTGCCCTGAGCAAATTTGGTATCGGTGGGACGAAAGCCTTAGGAGGAGATAGCCACATTCCAATGTGTGCGAATCGGCAAAAAATGCAAAATAGCCCTTTAACCGTACATTATACAGATACGCGCTCTTTGACTTTTTCGTAGATCTAATTGAGATACACATGATTGTCAATTTTTGTGTCAATATGACAAAGCGTTCAGGCGTGACACTCAACAATGTGTATTTTCATGTAAGGGGACAAGAAAAAATTGACTTTTTTCTCCTACCATGGGGGGGCGCTCTTTTGGGGAGTAAAAATTCCTTCACAAATGTGTTGATGGCTGGACATTGCATCATCCTAGAAAACTTGGAGGCCAGTGAGGACAAAAATAAAAAGTTATAAGACTTTTAAATATGTGGATTTTAGTGTTATTTTTGGCGCCCCCTAGAACCTAAACCATGGGGTGCAGCGTCATGATTTTGATAACTTTTAGTGGCCACGGGGTGTAGATTGGCCTGAGCAAATGTGGTGCCGGTGGAACGAAAGCCTTCGGAGGAGTTAGCGAAATTCCAATGTGTGCGGATCGGCAAAAAATGCAAAATAACCCTTTAACCGTAATTTTCACAGATACGGCCGCACTGACTTTTTTGTAGATCTTATTGAGATACATGTGTGTGTCAATTTTTGTGTCATTTTGACAAAGCGTACAGGCGTGACAGTCAATAGTGTGAATTTCCACCTTAGGGGGCGCTATGGAGCCATTTTGCATTTTATTGTTTTGGCGACTTCAGAATATCGAATTTTTCACCAGGCCCGGTCGTCCTGCCAAATTTCATGAGTTTTCGCCAGTGGGAAGTGGGCCATTTTCCAGTTCAAAGGGGAGGAAAAAGAAGAAACTAGGGCCCCGTTGGGGCACTGGCGGGCCCGAGCCGTGTCACGCCGCCCCCAGCGCGACCGTCTCCCCAACCCGATCGCGTCACACTCAAGGTCCAAAGATGGTGTGCGCACTTGTTTGTGGTCATTTACCATTATAATGAACGGGAGGCGCAGTTTCTACCAAAACGCTCGCTGCAGAAAAACTCCATGTCCTATTTGAAAAGAGTCTGGACCATGAGTGAGGGCACAAACACAGCTAAGATATATCCAAATGGCAAGTTGCTCCTCCTTTCGCTTTTGCCGAGAGAGCAGTGCGTTTGAGCCATTGAATGATGAACAGGAAAAACTTGACTTTATTCTCCTGCCATGGGGGGGCGCTCTTTTAAAGAGAAAAAACTCCTTCACAAATGTGTTGATGGCTGGACATTGCATCATCCTAGAAAACATGGGGGCCAGTGAGGACAAAAATAAAAAGTTATAAGACTTTTAAATATGTGGATTTTAGGGTTATATTTGGCGCCCCCTAGAACCTAAACCGTGGGGTGCAGCGTCATGATTTGAATAACTTTTAATGGCCATGGGGTGTAGATTGGCCTGAGCAAATGTGGTGCCGGTGGAACGAAAGCCTTCGGAGGAATTAGCGAAATTCCAATGTGTGCGAATCTGCAAAAAATGCGAAATAACCCTTTAACCGTACATTTTACAGATACGTGGCCATTGACTTTTTCGAAGATCTTATGTAAATACACGTGTATGTAAAATTTTGTGTCAATACGACAAAACATACAGGCGTAGCACTCAACAATGTGTATTTTCACCTTAGTGGACAAGAAAAAATTGACTTTTTTCTCCTGCCATGGGGGGGCGCTCTTTTGCCGAGTAAAAATTCCTTCACAAATGTGTTGATGGCTGGACATTGCATCATCCTAGAAAACTTGGAGGCCAGTGGGGACAAAAATAAAAAGTTATAAGACTTTTAAATATGTGGATTTTACGGTTATCTTTGGCTCCCCCTAGAACCTAAACCGTGGGGTGCAGCGTCATGATTTGAATAACTTTTAATGGCCATGGGGTGTAGATTGGCCTGAGCAAATGTGGTGCCGGTGGAACGAAAGCCTTCGGAGGAGTTAGCGAAATTCCAATGTGTGCGGATCGGCAAAAAATGCGGAATAACCCTTTAACCGTACATTTGACAGATACGCGCGCATTGACTTTTTCGTAGATCTTATTGAGATACATGTGTGTGTCAATTTTTGTGTCATTTTGCCAAAGCGTACAGGCGTGACACTCAACAATGTGTATTTTCACCTTAGGGGACAAGAAAAAATGGACTTTTTTCTCCTGCCATGGGGGGGCGCTCTTTTGGGGAGTAAAAATTCCTTCACAAATGTGTTGATGGCTGGACATTGCATCATCCTAGAAAACTTGGAGGCCAGTGAGGGCAAAAATAAAAAGTTATAAGACTTTTAAATATGTGGATCTTAGGGTTATCTTTGGCGCCCCCTAGAACCTAAACCGTGGGGTGCAGCGTCATGATTTGAATAACTTTTAATGGCCATGGGGTGTAGATTGGCCTGAGCAAATGTGGTGCCGGTGGAACGAAAGCCTTCGGAGGAGTTAGCGAAATTCCAATGTGTGCGGATCGGCAAAAAATGCGAAATAACCCTTTAACCGTACATTTGACAGATACGCCCGCACTGACTTTTTTGTAGATCTTATTGAGATACATGTGTGTGTCAATTTTTGTGTCATTTTGACAAAGCGTACAGGCGTGACAGTCAATAGTGTGAATTTTCACCTTAGGGGGCGCTATGGAGCCATTTTGCATTTTCTTGTTTGGGCGACTTCGGAATATCAAATTTTTCACCAGGCCCGGTCGTCCTGCCAAATTTCATGAGTTTTCGCCAGTGGGAAGTGGGCCATTTTCCAGTTCAAAGGGGAGGAAAAATAATAATAACTAGGACCCCGTTGGGGCACTGGCGGGCCCGAGCCGTGTCGCGTCCCCCCCCCCCCCCCCAACGTGCTGCCTCCCCGTCCCATTTGTGTCCTCTGGCCATCGCCCTCTCTGGTAACGCCCATCACTGCAAAGACCCTTTTCCTTCATCGGCGTTTGCTGTTCTTCCTGCCAGTGCGTGTTGCTTTCACTTACACTTGCCACAGCCAGCCTCGTGAGTGCCTAGCCTATTGGATATCACTGTCACCTACACAGGACAGTCATTACCTTTCTATTAATACTTTGTGTTTTAATTTCACATTAATTTCCATATTGTATAAACGACTGGAAAAAACTTGAGCCCCTGCCCCTGTATAATCATGTGCATGTCTCTGTTCTAGCTCCAAGGTGAATCTTCACTGCTCATGTTCTCCTCAGAAGCAGTCACCTCACTCCCCTCAGGTTACTGTACACATGCACCAACTGCCTGCTTCAGGTTTGGATGGAGCTTCATGGTTGTCTTTTGGAGAAATGACCAGTCAAGTTGTGTTTGAAATTTGATTTTTTTCAGGGGCAAAAGGAGCCTCTGCATTCTTGTCAAATATGTAAATAGCATGTTTTTGCAGGTGCTAAAAACCAGACTCTGAGTGTGTGTGTGTGTGTGTGTGTGTGTGTGTGTGTGTGTGTGTGTGTGTGTGTCTGTGTGTGCGTTCAAGTCACATGACATATTTAACCGGATGTAGCTGCAAGACGGAGCCTCGTTGACTCTCCGTTTCAACTTATCTCAAAAGTGAGGACCTCAACCTATATACCAGTTTTTAAATTGTGTTGATAGGCCAAATAAAACCAGAGTTATGATAAATTATGTCCGCGATACTTTTTTCTGCTTATTTTGATCACGTTCGGCGCTCGATCGCGCTGTATGAGACAGGAAAACATAGCATGCAGACATTAGCGACAGGTCTTACAGGCGGAAAAGGCTTGCCAAAAGAAAAAAAAAACACACCACAACATCTCTCCTATTGGTGGAAAACTTCACCACAACAACCAATCCAAAATTATATGGTGACTGATTGACAAGGGGCGGGCGCTTACGTTCTTCCTGCAACATGAGAAGGGAGGGAGGGACTCTCAGCAGGGATGCAGTCTGGGACACGTAGTTGCAAACCTAGCGACTTTGTTGTTAGATTCAATGACTTTTCAGACCCCCTAACGACTTTTTTTTAGAAAGAAAGGGACTTTTATCGACTTCTTCTGGAGTTTAGAGACTCTGACATGAAGCAGGCTTTCCTTACTGAGGAGTTAGCAACGCTGCTAAGGGTGCAGAGCCACACATGCGCTCAGAGCTCTGCATGGGAGACTGAAGCTGACAGAGCTGCAGCAGTTAGCAGGTTTCACCCTCAGAGACCACCAGGGGTTCATGTTGAGGCATTTTAATTTTTTTTTTTTTTGTGCCATAGACACTGTCAGCACAATCTGCAGTTACACTAACAAAAATGCTGCAAAAAACAAAGAATTATGGAAAAATTACACATGGACTGACATAGAGGAGGATCTACACAAGTTTTTTACATCATGTTTTACATCATGCATCATTTACATCATGTTTTTTTGTAGTGGCATAAATAAAAAGTGACATTTGTGAGACTATACAGTGTTTTGTAAATAATTTTACAAAGAACGCCTGGGCCATTGCCTGCATTTTGATGAAAATAGAGGTAAATTACTATGTTCTTTGTTAAAAATTTGCATATGTTTTGAAGTTTACAATTTTTATTTGAAGTTTAAGTTTTAAAAACAGTTCATCACACATATTTGTGGTTTAATTTCACATTAATTTCCATATTGTATAAATGACTGGAAAAAACTTGAGCCCCTGCCCCTGTATAATCATGTGCACGTCCCTGTTCTAGCTCCAAGGTGAATCTTCACTGCTCATGTTCTCCTCAGAAATAGTCACCTCACTCCCCTCAGGTTACTGTACACATGCACCAACTATCTGCTTCAGGTTTGAAATGGAGCTTCATGGTTGTCTTTTGGAGAAATGAACAGTCAAGTTGTGTTTGAAATTTGATTTTTTTCAGGGGCAAAAGGAGCCTCTGCATTCTTGTCAAATATGTAAACAGCATGTTTTTGCAGGTGCTAAAAAACAGACTCTGAGTGTGTGTGTGTGTGTGTGTGTGTATGTTGGCGTGTGTGTATATGTGTGTGTATCCTGCAGTACTCTGTACTCCTGCAGTGGCCAAAAAGACTTTTAAGAATGTGGATTTTTGGGTCATCTTTGGCGCCCCCTAGAACTGCAGTACTCTGTACTCCTGCAGTGGCCAAAATGACTTTTAAGAATGTGGATTTTTGGGTCATCTTTGGCGCCCCCTAGAACGTAAACCGTGGGGTGCAGCGTCATGATTTTTACAACTTTGAATGGGCATGGGGTGTAGATTGCCCTGAGCAAATTTGGTATCGGTGGGACGAAAGCCTTAGGAGGAGATAGCCACATTCCAATGTGTGCGAATCGGCAAAAAATGCAAAATAGCCCTTTAACCGTACATTATACAGATACGCGCTCTTTGACTTTTTCGTAGATCTAATTGAGATACACATGATTGTCAATTTTTGTGTCAATATGACAAAGCGTTCAGGCGTGACACTCAACAATGTGTATTTTCATGTAAGGGGACAAGAAAAAATTGACTTTTTTCTCCTACCATGGGGGGGCGCTCTTTTGGGGAGTAAAAATTCCTTCACAAATGTGTTGATGGCTGGACATTGCATCATCCTAGAAAACTTGGAGGCCAGTGAGGACAAAAATAAAAAGTTATGAAACATTTAAGAATGTGGATTTTTGGGTTATTTTTGGCGCCCCCTAGAACCTAAACCATGGGGTGCAGCATCATGATTTGAATAACTTTTAATGGCCATGGGGTGTAGATTGGCTTGAGCAAATGTGGTGCCGGTGGAACGAAAGCCTTCGGAGGAGTTAGCGAAATTCCAATGTGTGCGTGTCGGCAAATAATGCGGAATAACCCTTTAACTGTACATTTGACAGATACGCGCACGTGGACTTTTTTGTAGATCTTATTGAGTTACATGTGTGTGTCAATTTTTGTGTCATTTTGACAAAGCGTATAGGCGTGACACTCAACAATGTGTATTTTCACCTTAGGGGACAAGAAAAAATGGACTTTTTTCTCCTGCCATGGGGGGGCGCTCTTTTGGGGAGTAAAAATTCCTTCACAAATGTGTTGATGGCTGGACATTGCATCATCCTAGAAAACTTGGAGGCCAGTGAGGACAAAAATAAAAAGTTATAAGACTTTTAAATATGTGGATTTAAGGGTTATCTTTGGCGCCCCCTAGAACCTAAACCTTGGGGTGCAGCGTCATGATTTTGATAACTTTTAATGGCCACGGGGTGTAGATTGGCCTGAGCAAATGTGGTGCCGGTGGAACGAAAGCCTTCGGAGGAGTTAGCGAAATTCCAATGTGTGCAGATCGGCAAAAAATGCGTAATAACCCTTTAACCGTACATTTGACAGATACGCCCGCACTGACTTTTTTGTAGATCTTATTGAGATACATGTGTGTGTCAATTTTTGTGTCATTTTGACAAAGCGTACAGTCGTGACAGTGAATAGTGTGAATTTTCACCTTAGGGGGCGCTATGGAGCCATTTTGCATTTTATTGTTTTGGCGACTTCAGAATATCAAATTTTTCACCAGGCCCGGTCGTCCTGCCAAATTTCATGAGTTTTCGCCAGTGGGAAGTGGGCCATTTTCCAGTTCAAAGGGGAGGAAAAAGAAAAAAGAAAGAAAGAAACAAAGAAAAACCACTTGGGGAATAATAGGGCCTACGCCCGGCTGCTCTGCAGCTGGCTCGGGCCCTAACTAGGACCCCGGTGGGGCACTGTCGGGCCCGAGCCGCGTTGCGCTGCCCCCAGCGCGACCGCCTACCCCTCCCGATCGCGTCACACTCAAGGTCCAAAGATGGTGTGCGCACTTGTCTGTGGTCATTTCCCATTATAATGAATGGGAGGCGCAGTTTCTACCAAAACACTCGCTGCAGACAAACTACATGTCCTATTTGAAAAAAGTCTGGACCATGAGTGAGGGCACAAACACAGCTAGGATATATCCAAACGGCAAGTTGCTCCTCGTTACGGTGTTGCCGGGAGAGTGATGCGAATGAGCCATTGAGTGATGGGCAGGAAAAACTTGACTGTTTCTCCTGCCATGGGGGATGGGGGATGGGGGGGGATGTGGATTCTTTTAAGAATGTGGATATTTGGGTCATCTTTGGCGCCCCCTAGAACGTAAACCGTGGGGTGCAGCGTCATGATTTTTACAACTTTGAATGGCCATGGGGTGTAGATTGGCCTGAGCAAATTTGGTGTCAGTGGGACGAAAGCCTTAGGAGGAGTTAGCCACATTCCAATGTGTGCGAATCGGCAAAAAATGCAAAATAGCCCTTTAACCGTACATTTTACAGATACGCGCGCATAGACTTTTTCGTAGATCTGATTGAGATACATGTGATTGTCAAATTTTGTGTCAATATGACAAAGCGTATAGGCGTGAATCTCAACAATATGTATTTTCACCTTAGGGGACAAGAAAAAATGGACTTTTTTCTCCTGCCATGGGGGGGCGCTCTTTTGGGGAGTAAAAATTCCTTCACAAATGTGTTGATGGCTGGACATTGCATCATCCTAGAAAACTTGGAGGCCAGTGAGGACAAAAATAAAAAGTTATAAGACTTTTAAATATGTGGATTTTAGGGTTATCTTTGGCGCCCCCTAGAACCTAAACCGTGGGGTGCAGCGTCATGATTTTGATAACTTTTAATGGCCACGGGGTGTAGATTGGCCTGAGCAAATGTGGTGCCGGTGGAACGAAAGCCTTCGGAGGAGTTAGCGAAATTCCAATGTGTGTGGATCGGCAAAAAATGCAAAATAACCCTTTAACCGTACATTTGACAGATACGCGCGCATTGACTTTTTCGTAGATCTTATTGAGTTACATGTGTGTGTCAATTTTTGTGTCATTTTGACAAAGCGTATAGGCGTGACACTCAACAATGTGTATTTTCACCTTAGGGGACAAGAAAAAATGGACTTTTTTCTCCTGCCATGGGGGGGCGCTCTTTTGGGGAGTAAAAATTCCTTCACAAATGTGTTGATGGCTGGACATTGCATCATCCTAGAAAACTTGGAGGCCAGTGAGGACAAAAATAAAAAGTTATAAGACTTTTAAATATGTGGATTTTAGTGTTATCTTTGGCGCCCCCTAGAACCTAAACCTTGGGGTGCAGCGTCATGATTTTGATAACTTTTAATGGCCACGGGGTGTAGATTGGCCTGAGCAAATGTGGTGCCGGTGGAACGAAAGCCTTCGGAGGAGTTAGCGAAATTCCAATGTGTGCGGATCGGCAAAAAATGCGAAATAACCCTTTAACCGTAATTTTGACAGATACGGCCGCACTGACTTTTTTGTAGATCTTATTGAGATACATATGTGTGTCAATTTTTGTGTCAATATGACAAAGCGTACAGGCGTGACAGTCAATAGTGTGAATTTCCACCTTAGGGGGCGCTATGGAGCCATTTTGCATTTTATTGTTTGGGCGACTTCAGAATATCGAATTTTTCACCAGGCCCGGTCGTCCTGCCAAATTTCATGAGTTTTCGCCAGTGGGAAGTGGGCCATTTTCCAGTTCAAAGGGGAGGAAAAAGAAAAAAGAAAGAAAGAAACAAAGAAAAACCACTTGGGGAATAATAGGGCCTACGCCCGGCTGCTCTGCAGCTTGCTCGGGCCCTAACTAGGACCCCGTTGGGGCACTGGCGGGCCCGAGCCGTGTCGCCCCCCCCCCCCCCCAACGTGCTGCCTCCCCGTCCCATTTGTGTCCTCTGGCCATCGCCCTCTCTTGTAACGCCCATCACTGCAAAGACCCTTTTCCTTCATCGGCGTTTGCTGTTCTTCCTGCCAGTGCGTGTTGCTTTCACTTACACTTGCCACAGCCAGCCTCGTGAGTGCCTAGCCTATTGGATATCACTGTCACCTACACAGGACAGTCATTACCTTTCTATTAATACTTTGTGTTTTAATTTCACATTAATTTCCATATTGTATAAACGACTGGAAAAAACTTGAGCCCCTGCCCCTGTATAATCATGTGCATGTCTCTGTTCTAGCTCCAAGGTGAATCTTCACTGCTCATGTTCTCCTCAGAAGCACTCACCTCACTCCCCTCAGGTTACTGTACACATGCACCAACTGCCTGCTTCAGGTTTGGATGGAGCTTCATGGTTGTCTTTTGGAGAAATGACCAGTCAAGTTGTGTTTGAAATTTGATTTTTTTTTCAGGGGCAAAAGGAGCCTCTGCATTCTTGTCAAATATGTAAATAGCATGTTTTTGCAGGTGCTAAAAACCAGACTCTGAGTGTGTGTGTGTGTGTGTGTGTGTGTGTGTGTGTGTGTGTGTGTGTGTGTGTGTGTGTGCGTGCGTGTGTGTGTGTCTGTGTGTGCGTTCAAGTCACATGACATATTTAACCGGATGTAGCTGCAAGACGGAGCCTCGTTGACTCTCCGTTTCAACTTATCTCAAAAGTGAGGACCTCAACCTATATACCAGTTTTTAAATTGTGTTGATAGGCCAAATAAAACCAGAGTTATGATAAATTATGTCCGCGATACTTTTTTTCTGCTTATTTTGATCACGTTCGGCGCTCGATCGCGCTGTATGAGACAGGAAAACATAGCATGCAGACATTAGCGACAGGTCTTACAGGCGGAAAAGGCTTGCCAAAGGAAAAAAAAAACACACCACAACATCTCTCCTATTGGTGGAAAACTTCACCACAACAACCAATCCAAAATTATATGGTGACTGATTGACAAGGGGAGGGCGATTACGTTCTTCCTGCAACATGAGAAGGGAGGGAGGGACTCTCAGCAGGGATGCAGTCTGGGACACGTAGTTGCAAACCTAGCGACTTTGTTGTTAGATTCAATGACTTTTCAGACCCCCTAACGACTTTTTTTTAGAAAGAAAGGGACTTTTATCGACTTCTTCTGGAGTTTAGAGACTCTGACATGAAGCAGGCTTTCCTTACTGAGGAGTTAGCAACGCTGCTAAGGGTGCAGAGCCACACATGCGCTCAGAGCTCTGCATGGGAGACTGAAGCTGACAGAGCTGCAGCAGTTAGCAGGTTTCACCCTCAGAGACCACCAGGGGTTCATGTTGAGGCATTTTAATTTTTATTTTTTTTGTGCCATAGACACTGTCAGCACAATCTGCAGTTACACTAACAAAAATGCTGCAAAAAACAAAGAATTATGGAAAAATTACACATGGACTGACATAGAGGAGGATCTACACAAGTTTTTTACATCATGTTTTACATCATGCATCATTTACATCATGTTTTTTTGTAGTGGCATAAATAAAAAGTGACATTTGTGAGACTATACAGTGTTTTGTAAATAATTTTACAAAGAACGCCTGGGCCATTGCCTGCATTTTGATGTAAATAGAGGTAAATCACTATGTTCTTTGTTAAAAATTTGCATATGTTTTGAAGTTTACAATTTTTATTTGAAGTTTAAGTTTTAAAAACAGTTCATCACACATATTTGTGGTTTTCACAGTAAAAATGTTACTTTTTTCCACTCGGATTTTATGTTTTGTGTGTGAATTTGGGTCCATTGTGTAAATTCAGTATGTCAACATGATAAAATAACTGTAAATTCGCACAGGTGAGGTTGTGCTGAAAAAAAATGATACCAGGCAAGGCACGTGATTGTCAAATTTTGTGTCATTATGACAAAGCGTATAGGCGTGAATCTCAACAATATGTATTTTCACCTTGGGGGACAAGAAAAAATGGACTTTTTTCTCCTGCCATGGGGGGGCGCTCTTTTGGGGAGTAAAAATTCCTTCACAAATGTGTTGATGGCTGGACATTGCATCATCCTAGAAAACTTGGAGGCCAGTGAGGACAAAAATAAAAAGTTATAAGACTTTTAAATATGTGGATTTTAGGGTTGTCTTTGGCGCCCCCTAGAACCTAAACCGTGGGGTGCAGCGTCATGATTTGAATAACTTTTAATGGCCATGGGGTGTAGATTGGCCTGAGCAAATGTGGTGCCGGTGGAACGAAAGCCTTAGGAGGAGTTAGCCACATTCCAATGTGTGCGGATCGGCAAAAAATGCGGAATAACCCTTTAACCGTACATTTGACAGATACGCGCGCATTGACTTTTTCGTAGATCTTATTGAGATACATGTGTGTGTCAATTTTTGTGTCATTTTGACAAAGCGTATAGGCGTGACACTCAACAATGTGTATTTTCACCTTAGGGGACAAGAAAAAATGGACTTTTTTCTCCTGCCATGGGGGGGCGCTCTTTTGGGGAGTAAAAATTCCTTCACAAATGTGTTGATGGCTGGACATTGCATCATCCTAGAAAACTTGGAGGCCAGTGAGGACAAAAATAAAAAGTTATAAGACTTTTAAATATGTGGATTTTAGTGTTATCTTTGGCGCCCCCTAGAACCTAAACCTTGGGGTGCAGCGTCATGATTTTGATAACTTTTAATGGCCATGGGGTGTAGATTGGCCTGAGCAAATGTGGTGCCGGTGGAACGAAAGCCTTCAGAGGAGTTAGCGAAATTCCAATGTGTGCGGATCGGCAAAAAATGCGTAATAACCCTTTAACCGTACATTTGACAGATACGCCCGCACTGACTTTTTTGTAGATCTTATTGAGATACATATGTGTGTCAATTTTTGTGTCATTTTGACAAAGCGTACAGTCGTGACAGTGAATAGTGTGAATTTTCACCTTAGGGGGCGCTATGGAGCCATTTTGCATTTTATTGTTTTGGCGACTTCAGAATATCAAATTTTTCACCAGGCCCGGTCGTCCTGCCAAATTTCATGAGTTTTCGCCAGTGGGAAGTGGGCCATTTTCCAGTTCAAAGGGGAGGAAAAAGAAAAAAGAAAGAAAGAAACAAAGAAAAACCACTTGGGGAATAATAGGGCCTACGCCCGGCTGCTCTGCAGCTGGCTCGGGCCCTAAGAAAGAAACAAAGAAAAACCCCTACAGGAATAACAGGGCCTACGCCCGGCTGCTCTGCAGCTGGCTCGGGCCCTAATAACTAGGACCCCGTTGGGGCACTGGCGGGCCCGAGCTGTGTCGCGTCCCCCCCCCAACGCGCTGCCTGCCCGTCCCATTTGTGTCCTCTGGCCATCGCCCTCTTTGGTAACGCCCATCACTGCAAAGACCCTTTTCCTTCATCGGCGTTTGCTGTTCTTCCTGCCAGTGCGTGTTGCTTTCACTTACACTTGCCACAGCCAGCCTCGTGAGTGCCTAGCCTATTGGATATCACTGTCACCTACACAGGACAGTCATTACCTTTCTATTAATACTTTGTTTTTTAATTTCACATTAATTTCCATATTGTATAAACAACTGGAAAAAACTTGAGCCCCTGCCCCTGTATAATCATGTGCACGTCTCTGTTCTAGCTCTAAGGTGAATCTTCACTGCTCATGTTCTCCTCAGAAGCAGTCACCTCACTCCCCTCAGGTTACTGTACACATGCACCAACTGCCTGCTTCAGGTTTGGATGGAGCTTCATGGTTGTCTTTTGGAGAAATGACCAGTCAAGTTGTGTTTGAAATTTGATTTTTTTCAGGGGCAAAAGGAGCCTCTGCATTCTTGTCAAATATGTAAATAGCATGTTTTTGCAGGTGCTAAAAACCAGACTCTGAGTGTGTGTGTGTGCGTGTGTGTGTGTGTCTGTGTGTGTGTGTGTGTGTGTGTGTGTGCGTTCAAGTCACATGACATATTTAACCGGATGTAGCTGCAAGACGGAGCCTCGTTGACTCTCCGTTTCAATTTATCTCAAAAGTGAGGACCTCAACCTATATACCAGTTTTTAAATTGTGTTGATAGGCCAAATAAAACCAGAGTTATGATAAATTATGTCCGCGATACTTGTTTTCTGCTTATTTTGATCACGTTCGGCGCTCGATCGCGCTGTATGAGACAGGAAAACATAGCATGCAGACATTAGCGACAGGTCTTACAGGCGGAAAAGGCTTGCCAAAGGAAAAAAAAAAACACACCACAACATCTCTCCTATTGGTGGAAAACTTCACCACAACAACCAATCCAAAATTATATGGTGACTGATTGACAAGGGGCGGGAACTTACGTTCTTCCTGCAATATGAGAAGGGAGGGAGGGACTCTCAGCAGGGATGCAGTCTGGGACACGTAGTTGCAAACCTAGCGACTTTGTTGTTAGATTCAATGACTTTTCAGACCCCCTAACGACTTTTTTTAGAAAGAAAGTGACTTTTATCGACTTCTTCTGGAGTTTAGAGACTCTGACATGAAGCAGGCTTTCCTTACTGAGGAGTTAGCAACGCTGCTAAGGGTGCAGAGCCACACATGCGCTCCGAGCTCTGCATGGGAGACTGAAGCTGACAGAGCTGCAGCAGTTAGCAGGTTTCACCCTCAGAGACCACCAGGGGTTCATGTTGAGGCATTTTAAAAATTTTTTTTGTGTGCCATAGACACTGTCAGCACAATCTGCAGTTACACTAACAAAAATGCTGCAAAAAACAAAGAATTATGGAAAAATTACACATGGACTGACATAGAGGAGGATCTACACAAGTTTTTTACATCATGTTTTACATCATGCATCATTTACATCATGTTTTTTTGTAGTGGCATAAATAAAAAGTGACATTTGTGAGACTATACAGTGTTTTGTAAATAATTTTACAAAGAACGCCTGGGCCATTGCCTGCATTTTGATGAAAATAGAGGTAAATCACTATGTTCTTTGTTTAAAATTTGCATATGTTTTGAAGTTTACAATTTTTATTTGAAGTTTAAGTTTTAAAAACAGTTCATCACACATATTTGTGGTTTAATTTCACATTAATTTCCATATTATATAAATGACTGGAAAAAACTTGAGCCCCTGCCCCTGTATAATCATGTGCACGTCCCTGTTCTAGCTCCAAGGTGAATCTTCACTGCTCATGTTCTCCTCAGAAATAGTCACCTCACTCCCCTCAGGTTACTGTACACATGCACCAACTATCTGCTTCAGGTTTGAAATGGAGCTTCATGGTTGTCTTTTGGAGAAATGAACAGTCAAGTTGTGTTTGAAATTTGATTTTTTTCAGGGGCAAAAGGAAGCCTCTGCATTCTTGTCAAATATGTAAACAGCATGTTTTTGCAGGTGCTAAAAAACAGACTCTGAGTGTGTGTGTGAATCTGTGTGTGTGTGTGTGTGTGTGTGTGTGTGTGTGTATGTTGGCGTGTGTGTATATGTGTGTGTATCCTGCAGTACTCTGTACTCCTGCAGTGGCCAAAAAGACTTTTAAGAATGTGGATTTTTGGGTCATCTTTGGCGCCCCTAGAACTGCAGTACTCTGTACTCCTGCAGTGGCCAAAATGACTTTTAAGAATGTGGATTTTTGGGTCATCTTTGGCGCCCCCTAGAACGTAAACCGTGGGGTGCAGCGTCATGATTTTTACAACTTTGAATGGGCATGGGGTGTAGATTGCCCTGAGCAAATTTGGTATCGGTGGGACGAAAGCCTTAGGAGGAGATAGCCACATTCCAATGTGTGCGAATCGGCAAAAAATGCAAAATAGCCCTTTAACCGTACATTATACAGATACGCGCTCTTTGACTTTTTCGTAGATCTAATTGAGATACACATGATTGTCAATTTTTGTGTCAATATGACAAAGCGTTCAGGCGTGACACTCAACAATGTGTATTTTCATGTAAGGGGACAAGAAAAAATTGACTTTTTTCTCCTACCATGGGGGGGCGCTCTTTTGGGGAGTAAAAATTCCTTCACAAATGTGTTGATGGCTGGACATTGCATCATCCTAGAAAACTTGGAGGCCAGTGAGGACAAAAATAAAAAGTTATAAGACTTTTAAAAATGTGGATTTTAGGGTTATCTTTGGCGCCCCCTAGAACGTAAACCGTGGGGTGCAGCGTCATGATTTGAATAACTTTTAATGGCCATGGGGTGTAGATTGGCCTGAGCAAATGTGGTGCCGGTGGAATGAAAGCCTTCGGAGGAGTTAGCGAAATTCCAATGTGTGCGGATCGGCAAAAAATGCGAAATAGCCCTTTAACCGTACATTTGACAGATACGCCCGCACTGACTTTTTTGTAGATCTTATTGAGATACATGTGTGTGTCAATTTTTGTGTCATTTTGACAAAGCGTACAGGCGTGAAAGTCAATAGTGTGAATTTTCACCTTAGGGGGCGCTATGGAGCCATTTTGCATTTTCTTGTTTGGGCGACTTCGGAATATCAAATTTTTCACCAGGCCCGGTCGTCCTGCCAAATTTCATGAGTTTTCGCCAGTGGGAAGTGGGCCATTTTCCAGTTCAAAGGGGAGGAAAAAGAAAAAAGAAACAAAGAAAAACCACTTGGGGAATAATAGGGCTCTCGCAGCTGCTTAGCAGCTACGCTCGGGCCCTAATAATAACAAAAGAAGGAAACATGCAGGAACAAGAGGGCTCTCGCAGCTGCTTAGCAGCTACGCTCGGGCCCTAAAAACCACTTGGGGAATAATAGGGCTCTCGCAGCTGCTTAGCAGCTACGCTCGGGCCCTAAAAAGAAACAAAGAAAAACCACTTGGGGAATAATAGGGCTCTCGCAGCTGCTTAGCAGCTACGCTCGGGCCCTAAAAAACCACTTGGGGAATAATAGGGCTCTCGCAGCTGCTTAGCAGCTACGCTCGGGCCCTAAAGAAACAAAGAAAAACCACTTGGGGAATAATAGAGCTCTCGCAGCTGCTTAGCAGCTACGCTCGGGCCCTAAAGAAAGAAAGAAACAAAGAAAAACCACTTGGGGAATAATAGGGCCTACGCCCGGCTGCTCTGCAGCTGGCTCGGGCCCTAAAAAGAAAGAAAGAAACAAAGAAAAACCACTTGGGGAATAATAGGGCCTACGCCCGGCTGCTCTGCAGCTGGCTCGGGCCCTAATAAAGAAACAGGAGAATAACAATAAGTGGAAATGCTTAATCAGCATTTCCACTTAATAATAATAATAAAGAACTAGGACCCCGTTGGGGCACTGGCGGGCCCGAGCCGTGTCGCGCCCCCCCCCCCCCCCCCAACGTGCTGCCTCCCCGTCCCATTTGTGTCCTCTGGCCATCGCCCTCTCTGGTAACGCCCATCACTGCAAAGACCCTTTTCCTTCATCGGCGTTTGCTGTTCTTCCTGCCAGTGCGTGTTGCTTTCACTTACACTTGCCACAGCCAGCCTCGTGAGTGCCTAGCCTATTGGATATCACTGTCACCTACACAGGACAGTCATTACCTTTCTATTAATACTTTGTGTTTTAATTTCACATTAATTTCCATATTGTATAAACGACTGGAAAAAACTTGAGCCCCTGCCCCTGTATAATCATGTGCATGTCTCTGTTCTAGCTCCAAGGTGAATCTTCACTGCTCATGTTCTCCTCAGAAGCACTCACCTCACTCCCCTCAGGTTACTGTACACATGCACCAACTGCCTGCTTCAGGTTTGGATGGAGCTTCATGGTTGTCTTTTGGAGAAATGACCAGTCAAGTTGTGTTTGAAATTTGATTTTTTTCAGGGGCAAAAGGAGCCTCTGCATTCTTGTCAAATATGTAAATAGCATGTTTTTGCAGGTGCTAAAAACCAGACTCTGAGTGTGTGTGTGTGTGTGTGTGTGTGTGTGTGTGTGTGTGTGTGTGTGTGTGTGTGTGTGTGTGCGTGTGTGTGTGTGTCTATGTGTGCGTTCAAATCACATGACATATTTAACCGGATGTAGCTGCAAGACGGAGCCTCGTTGACTCTCCGTTTCAACTTATCTCAAAAGTGAGGACCTCAACCTATATACCAGTTTTTAAATTGTGTTGATAGGCCAAATAAAACCAGAGTTATGATAAATTATGTCCGCGATACTTTTTTTCTGCTTATTTTGATCACGTTCGGCGCTCGATCGCGCTGTATGAGACAGGAAAACATAGCATGCAGACATTAGCGACAGGTCTTACAGGCGGAAAAGGCTTGCCAAAGGAAAAAAAAAACACACCACAACATCTCTCCTATTGGTGGAAAACTTCACCACAACAACCAATCCAAAATTATATGGTGACTGATTGACAAGGGGCGGGCGCTTACGTTCTTCCTGCAACATGAGAAGGGAGGGAGGGACTCTCAGCAGGGATGCAGTCTGGGACACGTAGTTGCAAACCTAGCGACTTTGTTGTTAGATTCAATGACTTTTCAGACCCCCTAACGACTTTTTTTTAGAAAGAAAGTGACTTTTATCGACTTCTTCTGGAGTTTAGAGACTCTGACATGAAGCAGGCTTTCCTTACTGAGGAGTTAGCAACGCTGCTAAGGGTGCAGAGCCACACATGCACTCAGAGCTCTGCATGGGAGACTGAAGCTGACAGAGCTGCAGCAGTTAGCAGGTTTCACCCTCAGAGACCACCAGGGGTTCATGTTGAGGCATTTTCAGTTTTTTTTTTTTTTTTTGCCATAGACACTGTCAGCACAATCTGCAGTTACACTAACAAAAATGCTGCAAAAAACAAAGAATTATGGAAAAATTACACATGGACTGACATAGAGGAGGATCTACACAAGTTTTTTACATCATGTTTTACATCATGCATCATTTACATCATGTTTTTTTGTAGTGGCATAAATAAAAAGTGACATTTGTGAGACTATACAGTGTTTTGTAAATAATTTTACAAAGAACGCCTGGGCCATTGCCTGCATTTTGATGTAAATAGAGGTAAATTACTATGTTCTTTGTTAAAAATTTGCATATGTTTTGAAGTTTACAATTTTTATTTGAAGTTTAAGTTTTAAAAACAGTTCATCACACATATTTGTGGTTTAATTTCACATTAATTTCCATATTGTATAAATGACTGGAAAAAACTTGAGCCCCTGCCCCTGTATAATCATGTGCACGTCCCTGTTCTAGCTCCAAGGTGAATCTTCACTGCTCATGTTCTCCTCAGAAATAGTCACCTCACTCCCCTCAGGTTACTGTACACATGCACCAACTATCTGCTTCAGGTTTGAAATGGAGCTTCATGGTTGTCTTTTGGAGAAATGAACAGTCAAGTTGTGTTTGAAATTTGATTTTTTTCAGGGGCAAAAGGAAGCCTCTGCATTCTTGTCAAATATGTAAACAGCATGTTTTTGCAGGTGCTAAAAAACAGACTCTGAGTGTGTGTGTGTGTGTGTGTGTGTGTGTGTGTGTGTGTGTGTATGTTGGCGTGTGTGTATATGTGTGTGTATCCTGCAGTACTCTGTACTCCTGCAGTGGCCAAAAAGACTTTTAAGAATGTGGATTTTTGGGTCATCTTTGGCGCCCCCTAGAACTGCAGTACTCTGTACTCCTGCAGTGGCCAAAATGACTTTTAAGAATGTGGATTTTTGGGTCATCTTTGGCGCCCCCTAGAACGTAAACCGTGGGGTGCAGCGTCATGATTTTTACAACTTTGAATGGGCATGGGGTGTAGATTGCCCTGAGCAAATTTGGTATCGGTGGGACGAAAGCCTTAGGAGGAGATAGCCACATTCCAATGTGTGCGAATCGGCAAAAAATGCAAAATAGCCCTTTAACCGTACATTATACAGATACGCGCTCTTTGACTTTTTCGTAGATCTAATTGAGATACACATGATTGTCAATTTTTGTGTCAATATGACAAACCGTTCAGGCGTGACACTCAACAATGTGTATTTTTATGTAAGGGGACAAGAAAAAATTGACTTTTTTCTCCTACCATGGGGGGCGCTCTTTTGGGGAGTAAAAATTCCTTCACAAATGTGTTGATGGCTGGACATTGCATCATCCTAGAAAACTTGGAGGCCAGTGAGGACAAAAATAAAAAGTTATAAAACATTTAAGAATGTGGATTTTTGGGTTATTTTTGGCGCCCCCTAGAACCTAAACCATGGGGTGCAGCATCATGATTTGAATAACTTTTAATGGCCATGGGGTGTAGATTGGCCTGAGCAAATGTGGTGCCGGTGGAACGAAAGCCTTCGGAGGAGTTAGCGAAATTCCAATGTGTGCGTATCGGCAAAAAATGCGGAATAACCCTTTAACTGTACATTTGACAGATACGCGCGCATGGACTTTTTTGTAGATCTTATTGAGTTACATGTGTGTGTCAATTTTTGTGTCATTTTGACAAAGCGTATAGGCGTGACACTCAACAATGTGTATTTTCACCTTAGGGGACAAGAAAAAATGGACTTTTTCTCCTGCCATGGGGGGGCGCTCTTTTGGGGAGTAAAAATTCCTTCACAAATGTGTTGATGGCTGGACATTGCATCATCCTAGAAAACTTGGAGGCCAGTGAGGACAAAAATAAAAAGTTATAAGACTTTTAAATATGTGGATTTTAGTGTTATCTTTGGCGCCCCCTAGAACCTAAACCTTGGGGTGCAGCGTCATGATTTTGATAACTTTTAATGGCCACGGGGTGTAGATTGGCCTGAGCAAATGTGGTGCCGGTGGAACGAAAGCCTTCGGAGGAGTTAGCGAAATTCCAATGTGTGCGGATCGGCAAAAAATGCGAAATAACCCTTTAACCGTAATTTTGACAGATACGGCCGCACTGACTTTTTTGTAGATCTTATTGAGATACATGTGTGTGTCAATTTTTGTGTCAATATGACAAAGCGTACAGGCGTGACAGTCAATAGTGTGAATTTCCACCTTAGGGGGCGCTATGGAGCCATTTTGCATTTTATTGTTTTGGCGACTTCAGAATATCGAATTTTTCACCAGGCCCGGTCGTCCTGCCAAATTTCATGAGTTTTCGCCAGTGGGAAGTGGGCCATTTTCCAGTTCAAAGGGGAGGAAAAAGAAAAACTAGGGCCCCGGTGGGGCACTGGCGGGCCCGAGCCGTGTCGCGCCGCCCCCAGCGCGACCGCCTACCCCTCCCGATCGCGTCACACTCAAGGTCCAAAGATGGTGTGCGCACTTGTCTGTGGTCATTTACCATTATAATGAATGGGAGGCGCAGTTTCTACCAAAACGCTCGCTGCAGGTCCTTTTGGAAAAAACTCTGGACCATGAGTGAGGGCACAAACACAGCTAGTATATATCCAAATGGCAAGTTGCTCCTCCTTTCGGTTTTGCCGAGAGAGCGATGCGTTTGAGCCATATGGATGGGCAGGAAAAACTTGACTTTTTCTCCTGCCATGGGGGGGCGCTCTTTTGGGGAGAAAAAATTCCTTCACAAATGTGTTGATGGCTGGACATTGCATCATCCTAGAAAACTTGGAGGCCAGTGAGGACAAAAATAAAAAGTTATAAGACTTTTAAAAATGTGGATATTTGGGTCCTCTTTGGCGCCCCCTAGAACGTAGACCGTGGGGTGCAGCGTCATGATTTTTACAACTTTGAATGCACCAACTGCCTGCTTCAGGTTTGGATGGAGCTTCATGGTTGTCTTTTGGAGAAATGACCAGTCAAGTTGTGTTTGAAATTTGATTTTTTTCAGGGGCAAAAGGAGACTCTGCATTCTTGTCAAATATGTAAATAGCATGTTTTTGCAGGTGCTAAAAACCAGACTCTGAGTGTGTGTGTGTGTGTGTGTGTGTGTGTGTGTGTGTGTGTGTGTGCGTGTGTGTGTGTCTGTGTGTGCGTTCAAGTCACATGACATATTTAACCGGATGTAGCTGCAAGACGGAGCCTCGTTGACTCTCCATTTCAACTTATCTCAAAAGTGAGGACCTCAACCTATATACCAGTTTTTAAATTGTGTTGATAGGCCAAATAAAACCAGAGTTATGATAAATTATGTCCGCGATACTTTTTTTCTGCTTATTTTGATCACGTTCGGCGCTCGATCGCGCTGTATGAGACAGGAAAACATAGCATGCAGACATTAGCGACAGGTCTTACAGGCGGAAAAGGCTTGCCAAAAGAAAAAAAAAACACACCACAACATCTCTCCTATTGGTGGAAAACTTCACCACAACAACCAATCCAAAATTATATGGTGACTGATTGACAAGGGGCGGGCGCTTACGTTCTTCCTGCAACATGAGAAGCGAGGGAGGGACTCTCAGCAGGGATGCAGTCTGGGACACGTAGTTGCAAACCTAGCGACTTTGTTGTTAGATTTAATGACTTTTCAGACCCCCTAACGACTTTTTTTAGAAAGAAAGGGACTTTTATCGACTTCTTCTGGAGTTTAGAGACTCTGACATGAAGCAGGCTTTCCTTACTGAGGAGTTAGCAACGCTGCTAAGGGTGCAGAGCCACACATGCGCTCAGAGCTCTGCATGGGAGACTGAAGCTGACAGAGCTGCAGCAGTTAGCAGGTTTCACCCTCAGAGACCACCAGGGGTTCATGTTGAGGCATTTTGAATTTTTTTTTTTTTTTGTGCCATAGACACTGTCAGCACAATCTGCAGTTACACTAACAAAAATGCTGCAAAAAACAAAGAATTACGGAAAAATTACACATGGACTGACATAGAGGAGGATCTACACAAGTTTTTTACATCATGTTTTACATCATGCATCATTTACATCATGTTTTTTTGTAGTGGCATAAATAAAAAGTGACATTTGTGAGACTATACAGTGTTTTGTAAATAATTTTACAAAGAACGCCTGGGCCATTGCCTGCATTTTGATGTAAATAGAGGTAAATCACTATGTTCTTTGTTTAAAATTTGCATATGTTTTGAAGTTTACAATTTTTATTTGAAGTTTAAGTTTTAAAAACAGTTCATCACACATATTTGTGGTTTTCACTGTAAAAATGTTACTTTTTTCCACTCGGATTTTATGTTTTGTGTGTGAATTTGGGTCCATTGTGTAAATTCAGTATGTCAACATGATAAAATAACTGTAAATTCGCACAGGTGAGGTTGTGCTGAAAAAAATGATACCAGGCAAGGCACGTGATTGTCAAATTTTGTGTCAATATGACAAAGCGTATAGGCGTGAATCTCAACAATATGTATTTTCACCTTAGGGGACAAGAAAAAATGGACTTTTTTCTCCTGCCATGGGGGGGCGCTCTTTTGGGGAGTAAAAATTCCTTCACAAATGTGTTGATGGCTGGACATTGCATCATCCTAGAAAACTTGGAGGCCAGTGAGGACAAAAATAAAAAGTTATAAGACTTTTAAATATGTGGATTTTAGGGTTATCTTTGGCGCCCCCTAGAACCTAAACCGTGGGGTGCAGCGTCATGATTTGAATAACTTTTAATGGCCATGGGGTGTAGATTGGCCTGAGCAAATGTGGTGCCGGTGGAACGAAAGCCTTAGGAGGAGTTAGCCACATTCCAATGTGTGCGGATCGGCAAAAAATGCGGAATAACCCTTTAACCGTACATTTGACAGATACGCGCGCATTGACTTTTTCGTAGATCTTATTGAGTTACATGTGTGTGTCAATTTTTGTGTCATTTTGACAAAGCGTATAGGCGTGACACTCAACAATGTGTATTTTCACCTTAGGGGACAAGAAAAAATGGACTTTTTTCTCCTGCCATGGGGGGCGCTCTTTTGGGGAGTAAAAATTCCTTCACAAATGTGTTGATGGCTGGACATTGCATCATCCTAGAAAACTTGGAGGCCAGTGAGGACAAAAATAAAAAGTTATAAGACTTTTAAATATGTGGATTTTAGGGTTATCTTTGGCGCCCCCTAGAACCTAAACCGTGGGGTGCAGCGTCATGAATTGAATAACTTTTAATGGCCATGGGGTGTAGATTGGCCTGAGCAAATGTGGTGCCGGTGGAACGAAAGCCTTAGGAGGAGTTAGCCACATTCCAATGTGTGCGGATCGGCAAAAAATGCGGAATAACCCTTTAACCGTACATTTGACAGATACGCGCGCATTGACTTTTTCGTAGATCTTATTGAGTTACATGTGTGTGTCAATTTTTGTGTCATTTTGACAAAGCGTATAGGCGTGACACTCAACAATGTGTATTTTCACCTTAGGGGACAAGAAAAAATGGACTTTTTTCTCCTGCCATGGGGGGGCGCTCTTTTGGGGAGTAAAAATTCCTTCACAAATGTGTTGATGGCTGGACATTGCATCATCCTAGAAAACTTGGAGGCCAGTGAGGGCAAAAATAAAAAGTTATAAGACTTTTAAATATGTGGATTTTAGGGTTATCTTTGGCGCCCCCTAGAACCTAAACCGTGGGGTGCAGCGTCATGATTTGAATAACTTTTAATGGCCATGGGGTGTAGATTGGCCTGAGCAAATGTGGTGCCGGTGGAACGAAAGCCTTCGGAGGAGTTAGCGAAATTCCAATGTGTGCGGATCGGCAAAAAATGCGGAATAACCCTTTAACCGTACATTTGACAGATACGCCCGCACTGACTTTTTTGTAGATCTTATTGAGATACATGTGTGTGTCAATTTTTGTGTCAATATGACAAAGCGTACAGGCGTGACAGTCAATAGTGTGAATTTTCACCTTAGGGGGCGCTATGGAGCCATTTTGCATTTTCTTGTTTGGGCGATTTCGGAATATCAAATTTTTCACCAGGCCCGGTCATCCTGCCAAATTTCATGAGTTTTCGCCAGTGGGAAGTGGGCCATTTTCCAGTTCAAAGGGGAGGAAAAAGAAGAAAGAAAGAAACAAAGAACTAGGACCCCGTTGGGGCACTGGCGGGCCCGAGCCGTGTCGCGTCTCCCCCCCCCAAACGTGCTGCCTTCCCGTCCCATTTGTGTCCTCTGGCCATCGCCCTCTCTGTTAACGCCCATCACTGCAAAGACCCTTTTCCTTCATCGGCGTTTGCTGTTCTTCCTGCCAGTGCGTGTTGCTTTCACTTACACTTGCCACAGCCAGCCTCGTGAGTGCCTAGCCTATTCGATATCACTGTCACCTACACAGGACAGTCATTACCTTTCTATTAATACTTTGTGTTTTAATTTCACATTAATTTCCATATTGTATAGACGACTGGAAAAAACTTGAGCCCCTGTCCCTGTATAATCATGTGCATGTCTCTGTTCTAGCTCCAAGGTGAATCTTCGCTGCTCATGTTCTCCTCAGAAGCAGTCACCTCACTCCCCTCAGGTTACTGTACACATGCACCAACTGCCTGCTTCAGGTTTGGATGGAGCTTCATGGTTGTCTTTTGGAGAAATGACCAGTCAAGTTGTGTTTGAAATTTGATTTTTTTCAGGGGCAAAAGGAGCCTCTGCATTCTTGTCAAATATGTAAATAGCATGTTTTTGCAGGTGCTAAAAACCAGACTCTGAGTGTGTGTGTGTGCGTGTGTGTGTGTGTGTGTGTGTGTGTGTGTGTGTGTGTGTGTGTGCGTTCAAGTCACATGACATATTTAACCGGATGTAGCTGCAAGACGGAGCCTCGTTGACTCTCCGTTTCAACTTATCTCAAAAGTGAGGACCTCAACCTATATACCAGTTTTTAAATTGTGTTGATAGGCCAAATAAAACCAGAGTTATGATAAATTATGTCCGCGATACTTGTTTTCTGCTTATTTTGATCACGTTCGGCGCTTGATCGCGCTGTATGAGACAGGAAAACATAGCATGCAGACATTAGCGACAGGTCTTACAGGCGGAAAAGGCTTGCCAAAAGAAAAAAAAAACACACCACAACATCTCTCCTATTGGTGGAAAACTTCACCACAACAACCAATCCAAAATTATATGGTGACTGATTGACAAGGGGCGGGCGCTTACGTTCTTCCTGCAACATGAGAAGGGAGGGAGGGACTCTCAGCAGGGATGCAGTCTGGGACACGTAGTTGCAAACCTAGCGACTTTGTTGTTAGATTCAATGACTTTTCAGACCCCCTAACGACTTTTTTTTAGAAAGAAAGTGACTTTTATCGACTTCTTCTGGAGTTTAGAGACTCTGACATGAAGCAGGCTTTCCTTACTGAGGAGTTAGCAACGCTGCTAAGGGTGCAGAGCCACACATGCGCTCAGAGCTCTGCATGGGAGACTGAAGCTGACAGAGCTGCAGCAGTTAGCAGGTTTCACCCTCAGAGACCACCAGGGGTTCATGTTGAGGCATTTTAATTTTTTTTTTTTTTGTGCCATAGACACTGTCAGCACAATCTGCAGTTACACTAACAAAAATGCTGCAAAAAACAAAGAATTATGGAAAAATTACACATGGACTGACATAGAGGAGGATCTACACAAGTTTTTTACATCATGTTTTACATCATGCATCATTTACATTATGTTTTTTTGTAGTGGCATAAATAAAAAGTGACATTTGTGAGACTATACAGTGTTTTGTAAATAATTTTACAAAGAACGCCTGGGCCATTGCCTGCATTTTGATGTAAATAGAGGTAAATTACTATGTTCTTTGTTAAAAATTTGCATATGTTTTGAAGTTTACAATTTTTATTTGAAGTTTAAGTTTTAAAAACAGTTCATCACACATATTTGTGGTTTAATTTCACATTAATTTCCATATTGTATAAATGACTGGAAAAAACTTGAGCCCCTGCCCCTGTATAATCATGTGCACGTCCCTGTTCTAGCTCCAAGGTGAATCTTCACTGCTCATGTTCTCCTCAGAAATAGTCACCTCACTCCCCTCAGGTTACTGTACACATGCACCAACTATCTGCTTCAGGTTTGAAATGGAGCTTCATGGTTGTCTTTTGGAGAAATGAACAGTCAAGTTGTGTTTGAAATTTGATTTTTTTCAGGGGCAAAAGGAAGCCTCTGCATTCTTGTCAAATATGTAAACAGCATGTTTTTGCAGGTGCTAAAAAACAGACTCTGAGTGTGTGTGTGTGTGTGTGTGTGTGTGTGTGTGTGTGTGTGTGTGTGTGTGTGTGTGTGTGTGTGTGTGTGTGTGTGTGTGTGTATGTTGGCGTGTGTGTATATGTGTGTGTATCCTGCAGTACTCTGTACTCCTGCAGTGGCCAAAAAGACTTTTAAGAATGTGGATTTTTGGGTCATCTTTGGCGCCCCCTAGAACTGCAGTACTCTGTACTCCTGCAGTGGCCAAAATGACTTTTAAGAATGTGGATTTTTGGGTCATCTTTGGCGCCCCCTAGAACGTAAACCGTGGGGTGCAGCGTCATGATTTTTACAACTTTGAATGGGCATGGGGTGTAGATTGCCCTGAGCAAATTTGGTATCGGTGGGACGAAAGCCTTAGGAGGAGATAGCCACATTCCAATGTGTGCGAATCGGCAAAAAATGCAAAATAGCCCTTTAACCGTACATTATACAGATACGCGCTCTTTGACTTTTTCGTAGATCTAATTGAGATACACATGATTGTCAATTTTTGTGTCAATATGACAAAGCGTTCAGGCGTGACACTCAACAATGTGTATTTTTATGTAAGGGGACAAGAAAAAATTGACTTTTTTCTCCTACCATGGGGGGGCGCTCTTTTGGGGAGTAAAAATTCCTTCACAAATGTGTTGATGGCTGGACATTGCATCATCCTAGAAAACTTGGAGGCCAGTGAGGACAAAAATAAAAAGTTATAAAACATTTAAGAATGTGGATTTTTGGGTTATTTTTGGCGCCCCCTAGAACCTAAACCATGGGGTGCAGCATCATGATTTGAATAACTTTTAATGGCCATGGGGTGTAGATTGGCCTGAGCAAATGTGGTGCCGGTGGAACGAAAGCCTTCGGAGGAGTTAGCGAAATTCCAATGTGTGCGTATCGGCAAAAAATGCGGAATAACCCTTTAACTGTACATTTGACAGATACGCGCACATGGACTTTTTTGTAGATCTTATTGAGTTACATGTGTGTGTCAATTTTTGTGTCATTTTGACAAAGCGTATAGGCGTGACACTCAACAATGTGTATTTTCACCTTAGGGGACAAGAAAAAATGGACTTTTTTCTCCTGCCATGGGGGGGCGCTCTTTTGGGGAGTAAAAATTCCTTCACAAATGTGTTGATGGCTGGACATTGCATCATCCTAGAAAACTTGGAGGCCAGTGAGGACAAAAATAAAAAGTTATAAGACTTTTAAATATGTGGATTTTAGTGTTATCTTTGGCGCCCCCTAGAACCTAAACCTTGCGGTGCAGCGTCATGATTTTGATAACTTTTAATGGCCACGGGGTGTAGATTGGCCTGAGCAAATGTGGTGCCGGTGGAACAAAAGCCTTCGGAGGAGTTAGCGAAATTCCAATGTGTGCGGATCGGCAAAAAATGCGAAATAACCCTTTAACCGTAATTTTGACAGATACGGCCGCACTGACTTTTTTGTAGATCTTATTGAGATACATATGTGTGTCAATTTTTGTGTCAATATGACAAAGCGTACAGGCGTGACAGTCAATAGTGTGAATTTCCACCTTAGGGGGCGCTATGGAGCCATTTTGCATTTTATTGTTTGGGCGACTTCAGAATATCGAATTTTTCACCAGGCCCGGTCGTCCTGCCAAATTTCATGAGTTTTCGCCAGTGGGAAGTGGGCCATTTTCCAGTTCAAAGGGGAGGAAAAAGAAGAAAGAAAGAAAGAAAGAAAGAAAGAAAGAAACAAAGAAAAACCACTTGGGGAATAATAGGGCCTACGCCCGGCTGCTCTGCAGCTGGCTCGGGCCCTAAAAACCACTTGGGGAATAATAGGGCTCTCGCAGCTGCTTAGCAGCTACGCTCGGGCCCTAACTATTAACCGGATGTAGCTGCAAGACGGAGCCTCGTTGACTCTCCGTTTCAACTTATCTCAAAAGTGAGGACCTCAACCTATATACCAGTTTTTAAATTGTGTTGATAGGCCAAATAAAACCAGAGTTATGATAAATTATGTCCGCGATACTTTTTTTCTGCTTATTTTGATCACGTTCAGCGCTCGATCGCGCTGTATGAGACAGGAAAACATAGCATGCAGACATTAGCGACAGGTCTTACAGGCGGAAAAGGCTTGCCAAAGGAAAAAAAAAACACACCACAACATCTCTCCTATTGGTGGAAAACTTCACCACAACAACCAATCCAAAATTATATGGTGACTGATTGACAAGGGGCGGGCGCTTACGTTCTTCCTGCAACATGAGAAGGGAGGGAGGGACTCTCAGCAGGGATGCAGTCTGGGACACGTAGTTGCAAACCTAGCGACTTTGTTGTTAGATTCAATGACTTTTCAGACCCCCTAACGACTTTTTTAGAAAGAAAGTGACTTTTATCGACTTCTTCTGGAGTTTAGAGACTCTGACATGAAGCAGGCTTTCCTTACTGAGGAGTTAGCAACGCTGCTAAGGGTGCAGAGCCACACATGCACTCAGAGCTCTGCATGGGAGACTGAAGCTGACAGAGCTGCAGCAGTTAGCAGGTTTCACCCTCAGAGACCACCAGGGGTTCATGTTGAGGCATTTTCAGTTTTTTTTTTTTTTTTTGCCATAGACACTGTCAGCACAATCTGCAGTTACACTAACAAAAATGCTGCAAAAAACAAAGAATTATGGAAAAATTACACATGGACTGACATAGAGGAGGATCTACACAAGTTTTTTACATCATGTTTTACATCATGCATCATTTACATCATGTTTTTTTGTAGTGGCATAAATAAAAAGTGACATTTGTGAGACTATACAGTGTTTTGTAAATAATTTTACAAAGAACGCCTGGGCCATTGCCTGCATTTTGATGTAAATAGAGGTAAATTACTATGTTCTTTGTTAAAAATTTGCATATGTTTTGAAGTTTACAATTTTTATTTGAAGTTTAAGTTTTAAAAACAGTTCATCACACATATTTGTGGTTTAATTTCACATTAATTTCCATATTGTATAAATGACTGGAAAAAACTTGAGCCCCTGCCCCTGTATAATCATGTGCACGTCCCTGTTCTAGCTCCAAGGTGAATCTTCACTGCTCATGTTCTCCTCAGAAATAGTCACCTCACTCCCCTCAGGTTACTGTACACATGCACCAACTATCTGCTTCAGGTTTGAAATGGAGCTTCATGGTTGTCTTTTGGAGAAATGAACAGTCAAGTTGTGTTTGAAATTTGATTTTTTTCAGGGGCAAAAGGAAGCCTCTGCATTCTTGTCAAATATGTAAACAGCATGTTTTTGCAGGTGCTAAAAAACAGACTCTGAGTGTGTGTGTGTGTGTGTGTGTGTGTGTGTGTGTGTGTGTGTGTATGTTGGCGTGTGTGTATATGTGTGTGTATCCTGCAGTACTCTGTACTCCTGCAGTGGCCAAAAAGACTTTTAAGAATGTGGATTTTTGGGTCATCTTTGGCGCCCCCTAGAACTGCAGTACTCTGTACTCCTGCAGTGGCCAAAATGACTTTTAAGAATGTGGATTTTTGGGTCATCTTTGGCGCCCCCTAGAACGTAAACCGTGGGGTGCAGCGTCATGATTTTTACAACTTTGAATGGGCATGGGGTGTAGATTGCCCTGAGCAAATTTGGTATCGGTGGGACGAAAGCCTTAGGAGGAGATAGCCACATTCCAATGTGTGCGAATCGGCAAAAAATGCAAAATAGCCCTTTAACCGTACATTATACAGATACGCGCTCTTTGACTTTTTCGTAGATCTAATTGAGATACACATGATTGTCAATTTTTGTGTCAATATGACAAACCGTTCAGGCGTGACACTCAACAATGTGTATTTTTATGTAAGGGGACAAGAAAAAATTGACTTTTTTCTCCTACCATGGGGGGGCGCTCTTTTGGGGAGTAAAAATTCCTTCACAAATGTGTTGATGGCTGGACATTGCATCATCCTAGAAAACTTGGAGGCCAGTGAGGACAAAAATAAAAAGTTATAAAACATTTAAGAATGTGGATTTTTGGGTTATTTTTGGCGCCCCCTAGAACCTAAACCATGGGGTGCAGCATCATGATTTGAATAACTTTTAATGGCCATGGGGTGTAGATTGGCCTGAGCAAATGTGGTGCCGGTGGAACGAAAGCCTTCGGAGGAGTTAGCGAAATTCCAATGTGTGCGTATCGGCAAAAAATGCGGAATAACCCTTTAACTGTACATTTGACAGATACGCGCGCATGGACTTTTTTGTAGATCTTATTGAGTTACATGTGTGTGTCAATTTTTGTGTCATTTTGACAAAGCGTATAGGCGTGACACTCAACAATGTGTATTTTCACCTTAGGGGACAAGAAAAAATGGACTTTTTTCTCCTGCCATGGGGGGGCGCTCTTTTGGGGAGTAAAAATTCCTTCACAAATGTGTTGATGGCTGGACATTGCATCATCCTAGAAAACTTGGAGGCCAGTGAGGACAAAAATAAAAAGTTATAAGACTTTTAAATATGTGGATTTTAGTGTTATCTTTGGCGCCCCCTAGAACCTAAACCTTGGGGTGCAGCGTCATGATTTTGATAACTTTTAATGGCCACGGGGTGTAGATTGGCCTGAGCAAATGTGGTGCCGGTGGAACGAAAGCCTTCGGAGGAGTTAGCGAAATTCCAATGTGTGCGGATCGGCAAAAAATGCGAAATAACCCTTTAACCGTAATTTTGACAGATACGGCCGCACTGACTTTTTTGTAGATCTTATTGAGATACATGTGTGTGTCAATTTTTGTGTCAATATGACAAAGCGTACAGGCGTGACAGTCAATAGTGTGAATTTCCACCTTAGGGGGCGCTATGGAGCCATTTTGCATTTTATTGTTTTGGCGACTTCAGAATATCGAATTTTTCACCAGGCCCGGTCGTCCTGCCAAATTTCATGAGTTTTCGCCAGTGGGAAGTGGGCCATTTTCCAGTTCAAAGGGGAGGAAAAAGAAAAACTAGGGCCCCGGTGGGGCACTGGCGGGCCCGAGCCGTGTCGCGCCGCCCCCAGCGCGACCGCCTACCCCTCCCGATCGCGTCACACTCAAGGTCCAAAGATGGTGTGCGCACTTGTCTGTGGTCATTTACCATTATAATGAATGGGAGGCGCAGTTTCTACCAAAACGCTCGCTGCAGGTCCTTTTGGAAAAAACTCTGGACCATGAGTGAGGGCACAAACACAGCTAGTATATATCCAAATGGCAAGTTGCTCCTCCTTTCGGTTTTGCCGAGAGAGCGATGCGTTTGAGCCATATGGATGGGCAGGAAAAACTTGACTTTTTCTCCTGCCATGGGGGGGCGCTCTTTTGGGGAGAAAAAATTCCTTCACAAATGTGTTGATGGCTGGACATTGCATCATCCTAGAAAACTTGGAGGCCAGTGAGGACAAAAATAAAAAGTTATAAGACTTTTAAAAATGTGGATATTTGGGTCCTCTTTGGCGCCCCCTAGAACGTAGACCGTGGGGTGCAGCGTCATGATTTTTACAACTTTGAATGCACCAACTGCCTGCTTCAGGTTTGGATGGAGCTTCATGGTTGTCTTTTGGAGAAATGACCAGTCAAGTTGTGTTTGAAATTTGATTTTTTTCAGGGGCAAAAGGAGACTCTGCATTCTTGTCAAATATGTAAATAGCATGTTTTTGCAGGTGCTAAAAACCAGACTCTGAGTGTGTGTGTGTGTGTGTGTGTGTGTGTGTGTGTGCGTGTGTGTGTCTGTGTGTGCGTTCAAGTCACATGACATATTTAACCGGATGTAGCTGCAAGACGGAGCCTCGTTGACTCTCCATTTCAACTTATCTCAAAAGTGAGGACCTCAACCTATATACCAGTTTTTAAATTGTGTTGATAGGCCAAATAAAACCAGAGTTATGATAAATTATGTCCGCGATACTTTTTTTCTGCTTATTTTGATCACGTTCGGCGCTCGATCGCGCTGTATGAGACAGGAAAACATAGCATGCAGACATTAGCGACAGGTCTTACAGGCGGAAAAGGCTTGCCAAAAGAAAAAAAAAACACACCACAACATCTCTCCTATTGGTGGAAAACTTCACCACAACAACCAATCCAAAATTATATGGTGACTGATTGACAAGGGGCGGGCGCTTACGTTCTTCCTGCAACATGAGAAGCGAGGGAGGGACTCTCAGCAGGGATGCAGTCTGGGACACGTAGTTGCAAACCTAGCGACTTTGTTGTTAGATTTAATGACTTTTCAGACCCCCTAACGACTTTTTTTTAGAAAGAAAGGGACTTTTATCGACTTCTTCTGGAGTTTAGAGACTCTGACATGAAGCAGGCTTTCCTTACTGAGGAGTTAGCAACGCTGCTAAGGGTGCAGAGCCACACATGCGCTCAGAGCTCTGCATGGGAGACTGAAGCTGACAGAGCTGCAGCAGTTAGCAGGTTTCACCCTCAGAGACCACCAGGGGTTCATGTTGAGGCATTTTGAATTTTTTTTTTTTTTTGTGCCATAGACACTGTCAGCACAATCTGCAGTTACACTAACAAAAATGCTGCAAAAAACAAAGAATTATGGAAAAATTACACATGGACTGACATAGAGGAGGATCTACACAAGTTTTTTACATCATGTTTTACATCATGCATCATTTACATCATGTTTTTTTGTAGTGGCATAAATAAAAAGTGACATTTGTGAGACTATACAGTGTTTTGTAAATAATTTTACAAAGAACGCCTGGGCCATTGCCTGCATTTTGATGTAAATAGAGGTAAATCACTATGTTCTTTGTTTAAAATTTGCATATGTTTTGAAGTTTACAATTTTTATTTGAAGTTTAAGTTTTAAAAACAGTTCATCACACATATTTGTGGTTTTCACTGTAAAAATGTTACTTTTTTCCACTCGGATTTTATGTTTTGTGTGTGAATTTGGGTCCATTGTGTAAATTCAGTATGTCAACATGATAAAATAACTGTAAATTCGCACAGGTGAGGTTGTGCTGAAAAAAATGATACCAGGCAAGGCACGTGATTGTCAAATTTTGTGTCAATATGACAAAGCGTATAGGCGTGAATCTCAACAATATGTATTTTCACCTTAGGGGACAAGAAAAAATGGACTTTTTTCTCCTGCCATGGGGGGGCGCTCTTTTGGGGAGTAAAAATTCCTTCACAAATGTGTTGATGGCTGGACATTGCATCATCCTAGAAAACTTGGAGGCCAGTGAGGACAAAAATAAAAAGTTATAAGACTTTTAAATATGTGGATTTTAGGGTTATCTTTGGCGCCCCCTAGAACCTAAACCGTGGGGTGCAGCGTCATGATTTGAATAACTTTTAATGGCCATGGGGTGTAGATTGGCCTGAGCAAATGTGGTGCCGGTGGAACGAAAGCCCCGTTGGGGCACTGGCGGGCCCGAGCTGTGTTGCGCCCCCCCCCCCCCCCCACAGCGCTGCCTCCCCGTCCCATTCGCGTCCTCTGGCCATCGTCCTCTCTGGTAACGCCCATCACTGCAAAGACCCTTTTCCTTCATCGGCGTTTGCTGTTCTTCCTGCCAGTGCGTGTGGCTTTCACTTACACTTGCCACAGCCAGCCTCGTGAGTGCCTAGCCTATTGGATATCACTGTCACCTACACAGGACAGTCATTACCTTTCTATTAATACTTTGTTTTTTAATTTCACATTAATTTCCATATTGTATAAACAACTGGAAAAAACTTGAGCCCCTGCCCCTGTATAATCATGTGCACGTCCCTGTTCTAGCTCCAAGGTGAATCTTGACTGCTCATGTTCTCCTCAGAAGCAGTCACCTCACTCCCCTCAGGTTACTGTACACATGCACCAACTGCCTGCTTCAGGTTTGGATGGAGCTTCATGGTTGTCTTTTGGAGAAATGAGCAGTCAAGTTGTGTTTGAAATTTCATTTTTTTCAGGGGCAAAAGGAAGTCTCTGCATTGTTGTCAAATATGTAAATAGCATGTTTTTGCAGGTGCTGAAAAACAGACTCTGAGTGTGTATGTGTGTGTGTGTGTGTGTGTGTGTGTGTGTGTGTGTGTGTGTGTGTGTGTGTGTGTGCGCGTGTGTGTGTGTGTCCGTGTGTGTGTGTGTCTGTGTGTGTGTGTGTCTGTGTGTGTGTATCCTGCAGTACTCTGTACTCCTGCAGTGGCCAAAACGACTTTTAAGAATGTGGATATTTGGGTCATCTTTGGCGCCCCCTAGAACGTAAACCATGGGGTGCAGCGGCATGATTTTTACAACTTTGAATGGGCATGGGGTGTAGATTGCCCTGAGCAAATTTGGTATCGGTGGGACGAAAGCCTTAGGAGGAGATAGCCACATTCCAATGTGTGCTAATCGGCAAAAAATGCGAAATAGCCCTTTAACCGTACATTATACAGATACGCGCTTTTTGACTTTTTCGTAGATCTAATTGAGATACACATGATTGTCAATTTTTGTGTCAATATGACAAAGCGTTCAGGCGTGACACTCAACAATGTGTATTTTCATGTAAGGGGACAAGAAAAAATTGACTTTTTTCTCCTGCCATGGGGGGGCGCTCTTTTGGGGAGTAAAAATTCCTTCACAAATGTGTTGATGGCTGGACATTGCATCATCCTAGAAAACTTGGAGGCCAGTGAGGACAAAAATAAAAAGTTATAAGACTTTTAAGAATGTGGATTTTGGGTTATCTTTGGCGCCCCCTAGAACGTAAACCGTGGGGTGCAGCATCATGATTTGTACAACTTTTAATGGCCATGGGGGGTAGATTGGCCTGCGCAAATGTGGTGCCGGTCGAACGAAAGCCTTCGGAGGAGTTAGCGAAATTCCAATGTGTGCAGATCTGCAAAAAATGCAAAATAACCCATTAACCGTACATTTGACAGATACGCGCGCACTGACTTTTTTGTAGATCTTATTGAGATACACGTGTGTGTCAATTTTTGTGTCAATATGACAAAGCGTACAGCCGTCATGTGAATTTTCACCTTAGGGGGCGCTATGGAGCCATTTTGCATTTTATTGTTTGGGCGACTTCAGAATATCGAATTTTTCACCAGGCCCGGTCGTCCTGCCAAATTTCCTGAGTTTTCGCCAGTGGGAAGTGGGCCATTTTCCAGTTTAAAGCGGAGGAAAAATAATAACGAAAGAAGGAAACATGCAGGAACAAGAGGGCTCTCGCAGCTGCTTAGCAGCTACGCTCGGGCCCTAAAGAAAGAAAGAAACAAAGAAAAACCACTTGGGGAATAATAGGGCCTACGCCCGGCTGCTCTGCAGCTGGCTCGGGCCCTAAATAGGAGAATAACAATAAGTGGAAATGCTTAATCAGCATTTCCACTTAATAAAGAACAGAATAACAACTAGGGCCCCGGTGGGGCACTGGCGGGCCCGAGCCGTGTCGCGCCGCCCCCAGCGCGACCGCCTCCCCCACCCAATCGCGTCACACTCAAGGTCCAAAGATGGTGTGCGCACTTGTCTGTGGTCATTTACCATTATAATGAATGGGAGGCGCAGTTTCTACCAAAACGCTCGCTGCAGAAAAACTCCATGTCCTATTTGAAAAAAGTCTGGACCATGAGTGAGGGCACAAACACAGCTAAGATATATCCAAATGGCAAGTTGCTCCTCCTTTCGCTTTTGCCGAGAGAGCGATGCGTTTGAGCCATTGAACGATGAACAGGAAAAACTTGACTTTATTCTCCTGCCATGGGGGGGCGCTCTTTTAACGAGAAAAAACTCCTTCACAAATGTGTTGATGGCTGGACATTGCATCATCCTAGAAAACATGGAGGCCAGTGAGGACAAAAATAAAATGTTATAACACTTTTAAGAATATGGATATTTGGGTCATCTTTGGCGCCCCCTAGAACTTAAACCGTGGGGTGCAGCGTCATGATTTTTACAACTTTGAATGGCCATGGGGTGTAGATTGGCCTGAGCAAATTTGGTGCCGGTGGAGCGAAAGCCTTCGGAGGAGTTAGCTACATTCCAATGTGTGCGAATCGGCAAAAAATGCAAAATAGCCCTTTAACCGTACATTTGACAGATACGCCTGCATTTACTTTTTCGTAGATCTTATTGAGATACACGTGTGTGTTGAATTTTGTGTCATTTTGACAAAGCGTACAGGCATGACACTCAACAATGTGTATTTTCACCTTAGGGGACAAGAAAAAATGGACTTTTTTCTCCTGCCATGGGGGGGGCGCTCTTTTGGGGAGTAAACATTCCTTCACAAATGTGTTGATGGCTGGACATTGCATCATCCTAGAAAACTTGGAGGCCAGTGAGGACAAAAATAAAAAGTTATAAGACTTTTAAAAATGTGGATATTTGGGTCCTCTTTGGCGCCCCCTAGAACATAGACCGTGGGGTGCAGCGTCATGATTTTTACAACTTTGAATGGCCATGGAGTGTAGATTGGCCTGAGCAAATTTGGTGTCAGTGGGACGAAAGCCTTAGGAGGAGTTAGCCACATTCCAATGTGTGCGAAACGGCAAAAAATGCGAAATAGCCCTTTAACCGTACATTTTACTGATACGCGCGCATTGACTCTTTCGTAGATCTTATTGAGATACACGTGATTGTCAAATTTTGTGTCAATATGACGAAGCGTACAGGCGTGACATTCAACAATGTGTATTTTCGCCTTAGGGGACTAGAAAAAATGGACTTTTTTCTCCTGCCATGGGGGGGCGCTCTTTTGGCGAGTAAAAATTCCTTCACAAATGTGTTGATGGCTGGACATTGCATCATCCTAGAAAACTTGGAGGCCAGTGAGGACAAAAATAAAAAGTTATAAGACTTTTAAGAATGTGGATTTTTGGGTTATTTTTGGCGCCCCCTAGAACGTAAACCGTGGGGTGCAGCATCATGATTTGTACAACTTTTAATGGCCATGGGGTGTAGATTGGCCTGAGCAAATTTGGTGCCGGTGGAACGAAAGCCTTCGGAGGAGTTAGCGAAATTCCAATGTGTGCGGATCGGCAAAAAATGCGAAATAGCCCTTTAACCGTACATTTGACAGATACGCCCGCACTGACTTTTTTGTAGATCTTATTGAGATACACATGTGTGTCAAATTTTGTGTCATTTTGACAAAGCGTACAGGCGTCAGGTGAGTTTTCACCATAGGGGGCGCTATGGAGCCATTTTTCATTTTTTTGTTTGGGCGACTTCAGAATATCAAATTTTTCACCAGGCCCGGTCGTCCTGCCAAATTTCCTGAGTTTTCGCCAGTGGGAAGTGGGCCATTTTCCAGTTTAAAGCGGAGGAAAAATAACGAAAGAAGAATCCATCAGGAACAAGAGGGCTCTCGCAGCTGCTTAGCAGCTACGCTCGGGCCCTAATAAGTGGAAATGCTTAATCAGCATTTCCACTTAATAAAGAACAGAATAACAATAAGTGGAAATGCTTAATCAGCATTTCCACTTAATAAAGAAACAGGAGAATAACAATAAGTGGAAATGCTTAATCAGCATTTCCACTTAATAACAAAGAAAATGGCCGACAGGAATAACAATAAGTGGAAATGCTTAATCAGCATTTCCACTTAACTAGAAAATGCAATTTCTGAAGAAATTGCGAGTGGGATTGCTTCAGTTGAAATTGCTATCGCTAAGCTGCTATTGCGAATGGCTGAATTTTAAAAATTAGTGAAAGGTCAAAAGGTATGAAGTATCAGGAAGATTTGAATCAGTTTGAATAAACTCTGTTGAATGAATTGAATAATGCATGAATAATAATTTTAAAAATTCAACATGTGAAAATTAAAATGATTAAAAACCCTGAAGTATGGGAAAGGCTTGAAGAATCAATAAGGTTTGAATCAGTTCAAATGAGTTGAAATTTGCTTGAAAGAACTGAAAAATGCATAAAGAGTAAAAAAATGATTTAAAACTTGAAAATAAAAAGGTTACAAATCTGGAAGAAAAAGAGGTTTGAAGAATCAAAACGGTTTAAATCAGTTTGAAGGAAATAAATTAGTTTGAAGAGTTAAATAATGCATTTTCATTGAATGATTGAAAAATGGGGACAATGTAAATGAAAAAAAATCCTGATTTGACCCCATAATGTCCTCAATGAGCTGAATTTATTAAGCCCTGGATGGTTTCTGTAGCTCAAGGTTTGTGCGAAGAGATAGATGACAAAGTTCGTCAAATAACTCTATTGAAGGGTTTTAAATGTAACCCCCAGTAATCTGTGTACTGAGCCTGGCTTCATGTGTCTCATATGGCTGTTAGAAGCAGCTTTCCAGCCAGCTGTGTGTCTCCAGGTGCTCCCTTTGGTTGCCATGGTGACGATAGATGCTTAACAACAGCAGGAGAAAGGAGGCTTGAGGCTGAGAACGTAATGCCCAAACAACGTCATATTTCTCATCCTCTGTAACTGCTATCTTCATGATAATGAGCTTGTGAGAACCACAAGACCCGGCTGAACATGTTGATACAACTTCTGTGTCTGTGGAGCCAAAAATGCCTTCACTACGACAAGTTAAAAACATGTCCAGTTTGTGTTTCCTCTGAAAATCCTCCTCTCAGGTTTACATTGGAGTCAATGGAGAAAGCTGGAGAAATTTGGGGGATGTCTGTGGCAGTTGGTGTCTGCCCAGGCCACTGTGTGTGTCCTATGGCTTTGATTTTTGAGATGAAGAGTGACAGCGAGTTTTGCCATCACTGTACCAATTTTTATCTGTGTAGAGCGAAGTGAGTTGCCACAATCCTTTTGTAAAGACAAAGTTTTGAGGATCAATTTTCAGCCCCTCTCACTCTAGCTGTGAGGTCACCCACTCTAGCTGCCAACATTCCGTGCAATACACACTAATGTTAAAACCTGGACCGGTCAGAAAATCATGTGAATTTTTGAACTGTCACTGTGAGAAAAGTATGAATGCCATGAAGATGGTGAATGAATGAATGAATGTCTGAAGATGTGTGAATATTTTAAAGTTTGAATGAAGTTTCTAGGTGAAAGTATGAATGAATGAGAAGAGGTTGAAGTTGACTACGTCTGAAAGCCTTTTCCCATTGAATCCCATTATAACGAAGTTTTAAACAAATCTTAATATTTTGAAAAGTACAAATGGGATTAAAAATGTTGAAGATGTGGAATAATGCTGACGAATTTGTGAATATTTTGGTTTTTGAATGAAGTTTCTACGTGGAAGTATAGAGGAGTTGAAGGCTTTTGAAGTTTGAAGCCAATTTGAACATTCCGTAATGCATTTCTAATGGGAGAAATCGGTCGGAAAACCTGGAATATCTCGGAAAGTATGAATGTTTGGAAATTTTTGAATACAAGCCGGAATCTCCTGAATGAGATGAATCTTTTGAAGTTTGAATGGTTTGAATACGTTGAAGTATGTGGAAGGAGTAGCGGTCCAAAAAACGGTGGAAGAATAATAATAACTAGAAAAATTGCATTTCCTTGCAGAAAATGCGTGGAAATGCTGAGTGCTGAAAGCTGAAAAAGCAATGCAAAACTGCAAATAAAAAATGGAGGAAGGTATAAACGGAAAAACTGTAGAAAAGGTGGAGTAGAAGAAGAAGAAATTGTATGAATGGAAGAATTGTAGTATAGCTGGAGGTAAATTAGTTGGATTAATGTACAAATTGTCTGATAGCCTAAGTGAAAAATGTATATGATTGATGTGAATAAACAGAACTGATATGGATAATTGAATTTGAAAAACAAATGCCTTTAAACAATGTGTAACAATGTTCCTATTAAATGTACAAATAGTAAAACAGATTTTTGCAGTCTGCAGCATCCAACCATAGTAACTTGAGAATGCAGAACAGCACCATCTATTGCCCTGCTTCAGTTACTGCCCTACATCTGAATGTAGAAAGTATGAAACAGCTGAAGTTAAATTAATTGTATAAATGTAGAAAGTATAGAAAAGAAAAGCAGAAGTAGAAGAAAAAGAAGAAGTTAGTATGTTAAAAGAGTTAAAGACAAGAACTGTAACAACAAAGTTCATATTGGGGCTGTATTTTCTACTGACAGAGAGACAGTAATGCACACATGGAAACAGTGTGTGTGTGTGTGTGTGTGTGTGTGCCCGCGCGCGCGCGCGGCCGAGCCCGTGCGTGTGCATATGCGTGTGTGATCGAAGCACACAGCCCATGACAAGTGCAGAATCTGACAGAGACAGTAAGAGAGAAAGAGAGACATTAATGCACTCATGGAAACAGTGTGTGTGTATGTGTGTGTGCCCGCGCGCGCACGAGCGGCCAAGTCCGTGCGTGTGCGATCGAAGCACACAGCCCATGACAAGTGCAGAATCTGACAGAGAGATAGTAAGAGACACAGTAATGCACTCATGGAAACAGTGTGTGTGTGTGTGTGTGTGTGTGTGTGTGTGTGCCCGCGCGCGCACGAGCGGCCGAGTCCGTGCGTGTGCATGTGCGTGTGCGATCGAAGCACACAGCCCATGACAAGTGCAGAATCTCTGGCTCTGAAGGAATGTACTCACCTCCTGGGCAAGCTGTACAATTTCATGATTTCAGACCGATTTTGTGAGAAGCAGGACGAGTGTACCTCCATTTTGATGTGTTTTTTATGGCTGTGGAGTGAAAATTGCGGCCGCAGCAGCAAAATAAACACGCTTGGTCTAGTGAATCCAAAAGGCCCCGCCCGCATCGAGTGATGACGTCAGACGCTGTAGCGTGAGTCAGGCTGAAAAAGGCAGACAACTTCATGTTGCTCCAAGCGAAATTGTGCAAAAACGGTAGGAAATAGCAAAAAGGAGTGAATACAACATTTGTAGCAGACACGTTGCTGAACATTTTAAAGCAAAAATGAGGTCTGTAGGTGAAAGTATGCAGAAGTTATAAGGGTGAGAAGGTGTTATAGCTGTATCTCCATTCATTTGTAATGGAACAAATTTTGCAGAAAAAGTGAAATATTGCAAAAAGTATAAATGGTAGAAAGGTGAAAAGTAATAGCCGTAATGTCCTGAAGGAGTGCATTAGTATAAAGTTTGAATGGTGAAAATAGCACAAAGTGGTGAGGAGTTGAAAAGGGCCAAAAAAGGTACGGAAGAATAATAATAATAATAATAATAATAACTAGAAAAATTGCATTTCCTTGCAGAAAATGCGTGGAAATGCTGAGTGCTGAAAGCTGAAAAAGCAATGCAAAACTGCCAGTGAAAAATGGAGGAAGGTATAAACGGAAAAACTGTAGAAAAGGTGGAGTAGAAGAAGAAGAAATTGTATGAATGGAAGAATTGTAGTATAGCTGGAGGTAAATTAGTTGGATTAATGTACAAATTGTCTGATAGCCTAAGTGAAAAATGTATATGATTGATGTGAATAAACAGAACTGATATGGATAATTGAATTTGAAAAACAAATGCCTTTAAACAATGTGTAACAATGTTCCTATTAAATGTACAAATAGTAAAACCGATTTTTGCAGTCTGCAGCATCCAACCATAGTAACTTGAGAATGCAGAACAGCACCATCTATTGCCCTGCTTCAGTTACTGCCCTACATCTGAATGTAGAAAGTATGAAACAGCTGAAGTTAAATTAATTGTATAAATGTAGAAAGTATAGAAAAGAAAAGCAGAAGTAGAAGAAAAAGAAGAAGTTAGTATGTTAAAAGAGTTAAAGACAAGAACTGTAACAACAAAGTTCATATTGGGGCTGTATTTTCTACTGACAGAGAGACAGTAATGCACACATGGAAACAGTGTGTGTGAGTGTGTGAGTGTGGCCGCGCGCGCGCGCGCGGCCGAGCCCGTGCATGTGCGTGTGTGATCGAAGCACACAGCCCATGACAAGTGCAGAATCTGACAGAGAGACAGTAAGAGAGAAAGACAGACAGTAATGCACTCATGGAAACAGTGTGTGTGTGTGTGTGTGTGTGTGTGTGTGTGTGTGTGTGTGTGTGTGTGTGTGTGTGCCCGCGCGCGCACGAGCGGCCAAGTCCGTGCGTGTGCGATCGAAGCACACAGCCCATGACAAGTGCAGAATCTCTGGCTCCTAAGGAATGTACTCACCTCCTGGGCAAGCTGTACAATTTCATGACTTCAGACCGATTTTGTGAGAAGCAGGACGAGTGTACCTCCATTTTGATGTGTTTTTTATGGCTGTGGAGTGAAATTTGCGGCCGCGGCTGCAAAATAAACACGCTTGGTCTAGTGAATCCAAAAGGCCCCGCCCGCATCTAGTTATGACGTCAGACGCTGTAGCGTGAGTCAGGCTGAAAAAGGCAGAAGACTTCATGTTGCTCCAAGCGAAATTGTGCAAAAACGGTAGGAAATAGCAAAAAGGAGTGAATACAACTTTTGTAGCAGACATGTTGCTGAACATTTTAAAGCAAAAATGAGGTCTGTAGGTGAAAGTATGCAGAAGTTATAAGGGTGAGAAGGTGTTATAGCTGTATCTCCATTCATTTGTAATGGAACAAATTTTGCAGAAAAAGTGAAATATTGCAAAAAGTATAAATGGTAGAAAGGTGAAAAGTAATAGCCGTAATGTCCTGAAGGAGTGCATTAGTATAAAGTTTGAATGGTGAAAATAGCACAAAGTGGTAAGGAGTTGAAAAGGGCCAAAAAAGGTACGGAAGAATAATAATAATAATAATAACTAGAAAAATTGCATTTCCTTGCAGAAAATGCGTGGAAATGCTGAGTGCTGAAAGCTGAAAAAGCAATGCAAAACTGCCAATAAAAAATGGAGGAAGGTATAAACGGAAAAACTGTAGAAAAGGTGGAGTAGAAGAAGAAGAAATTGTATGAATGGAAGAATTGTAGTATAGCTGGAGGTAAATTAGTTGGATTAATGTACAAATTGTCTGATAGCCTAAGTGAAAAATGTATATGATTGATGTGAATAAACAGAACTGATATGGATAATTGAATTTGAAAAACAAATGCCTTTAAACAATGTGTAACAATGTTCCTATTAAATGTACAAATAGTAAAACCGATTTTTGCAGTCTGCAGCATCCAACCATAGTAACTTGAGAATGCAGAACAGCACCATCTATTGCCCTGCTTCAGTTACTGCCCTACATCTGAATGCAGAAAGTATGAAACAGCTGAAGTTAAATTAATTGTATAAATGTAGAAAGTATAGAAAAGAAAAGCAGAAGTAGAAGAAAAAGAAGAAGTTAGTATGTTAAAAGAGTTAAAGACAAGAACTGTAACAACAAAGTTCATATTGGGGCTGTATTTTCTACTGACAGAGAGACAGTAATGCACACATGGAAACAGTGTGTGTGTGTGTGTGTGTGTGTGTGTGTGTGTGTGTGTGTGTGTGCCCGCGCGCGCGCGCGGCCGAGCCCGTGCGTGTGCATATGCGTGTGTGATCGAAGCACACAGCCCATGACAAGTGCAGAATCTGACAGAGAGACAGTAAGAGAGAAAGAGAGACATTAATGCACTCATGGAAACAGTGTGTGTGTATGTGTGTGTGCCCGCGCGCGCACGAGCGGCCAAGTCCGTGCGTGTGCGATCGAAGCACACAGCCCATGACAAGTGCAGAATCTGACAGAGAGATAGTAAGAGAGACAGTAATACACTCATGGAAACAGTGTGTGTGTGTGCGTGTGTGTGTGCCCGCGCGCGCACGAGCGGCCGAGTCCGTGCGTGTGCATGTGCGTGTGCGATCGAAGCACACAGCCCATGACAAGTGCAGAATCTCTGGCTCTGAAGGAATGTACTCACCTCCTGGGCAAGCTGTACAATTTCATGACTTCAGACCGATTTTGTGAGAAGCAGGACGAGTGTACCTCCATTTTGATGTGTTTTTTATGGCTGTGGAGTGAAAATTGCGGCCGCAGCAGCAAAATAATCATGCTTGGTCTAGTGAATCCAAAAGGCCCCGCCCGCATCTAGTTATGACGTCAGACGCTGTAGCGTGAGTCAGGCTGAAAAAGGCAGAAGACTTCATGTTGCTCCAAGCGAAATTGTGCAAAAACGGTAGGAAATAGCAAAAAGGAGTGAATACAACTTTTGTAGCAGACATGTTGCTGAACATTTTAAAGCAAAAATGAGGTCTGTAGGTGAAAGTATGCAGAAGTTATAAGGGTGAGAAGGTGTTATAGCTGTATCTCCATTCATTTGTAATGGAACAAATTTTGCAGAAAAAGTGAAATATTGCAAAAAGTATAAATGGTAGAAAGGTGAAAAGTAATAGCCGTAATGTCCTGAAGGAGTGCATTAGTATAAAGTTTGAATGGTGAAAATAGCACAAAGTGGTAAGGAGTTGAAAAGGGCCAAAAAAGGTACGGAAGAATAATAATAATAACTAGAAAAATTGCATTTCCTTGCAGAAAATGCGTGGAAATGCTGAGTGCTGAAAGCTGAAAAAGCAATGCAAAACTGCCAATGAAAAATGGAGGAAGGTATAAACGGAAAAACTGTAGAAAAGGTGGAGTAGAAGAAGAAGAAATTGTATGAATGGAAGAATTGTAGTATAGCTGGAGGTAAATTAGTTGGATTAATGTACAAATTGTCTGATAGCCTAAGTGAAAAATGTATATGATTGATGTGAATAAACAGAACTGATATGGATAATTGAATTTGAAAAACAAATGCCTTTAAACAATGTGTAACAATGTTCCTATTAAATGTACAAATAGTAAAACAGATTTTTGCAGTCTGCAGCATCCAACCATAGTAACTTGAGAATGCAGAACAGCACCATCTATTGCCCTGCTTCAGTTACTGCCCTACATCTGAATGTAGAAAGTATGAAACAGCTGAAGTTAAATTAATTGTATAAATGTAGAAAGTATAGAAAAGAAAAGCATTAGTAGAAGAAAAAGAAGAAGTTAGTATGTTAAAAGAGTTAAAGACAAGAACTGTAACAACAAAGTTCATATTGGGGCTGTATTTTCTACTGACAGCAAGAGTAATGCACACATGGAAACAGTGTGTGTGTGTGTGTGTGTGCCCGCGCGCGCGCGCGCGGCCGAGCCCGTGCGTGTGCATGTGCGTGTGTGATCGAAGCACACAGCCCATGACAAGTGCAGAATCTGACAGAGAGACAGTAAGAGAGAAAGACAGACAGTAATGCACTCATGGAAACAGTGTGTGTGTATGTGTGTGTGCCCGCGCGCGCACGAGCGGCCAAGTCCGTGCGTGTGCATGTGCGTGTGCGATCGAAGCACACAGCCCATGACAAGTGCAGAATCTCTGGCTCTGAAGGAATGTACTCACCTCCTGGGCAAGCTGTACAATTTCATGACTTCAGACCGATTTTGTGAGAAGCAGGACGAGTGTACCTCCATTTTGATGTGTTTTTTATGGCTGTGGAGTGAAAATTGCGGCCGCAGCAGCAAAATAATCATGCTTGGTCTAGTGAATCCAAAAGGCCCCGCCCGCATCTAGTGATGACGTCAGACGCTGTAGCGTGAGTCAGGCTGAAAAAGGCAGAGAACTTCATGTTGCTCCAAGCGAAATTGTGCAAAAACGGTAGGAAATAGCAAAAAGGAGTGAATACAACATTTGTAGCAGACACGTTGCTGAACATTTTAAAGCAAAAATGAGGTCTGTAGGTGAAAGTATGCAGAAGTTATAAGGGTGAGAAGGTGTTATAGCTGTATCTCCATTCATTTGTAATGGAACAAATTTTTGCAGAAAAAGTGAAATATTGCAAAAAGTATAAATGGTAGAAAGGTGAAAAGTAATAGCCGTAATGTCCTGAAGGAGTGCATTAGTATAAAGTTTGAATGGTGAAAATAGCACAAAGTGGTAAGGAGTTGAAAAGGGCCAAAAAAGGTACGGAAGAATAATAATAATAACTAGAAAAATTGCATTTCCTTGCAGAAAATGCGTGGAAATGCTGAGTGCTGAAAGCTGAAAAAGCAATGCAAAACTGCCAATAAAAAATGGAGGAAGGTATAAACGGAAAAACTGTAGAAAAGGTGGAGTAGAAGAAGAAGAAATTGTATGAATGGAAGAATTGTAGTATAGCTGGAGGTAAATTAGTTGGATTAATGTACAAATTGTCTGATAGCCTAAGTGAAAAATGTATATGATTGATGTGAATAAACAGAACTGATATGGATAATTGAATTTGAAAAACAAATGCCTTTAAACAATGTGTAACAATGTTCCTATTAAATGTACAAATAGTAAAACAGATTTTTGCAGTCTGCAGCATCCAACCATAGTAACTTGAGAATGCAGAACAGCACCATCTATTGCCCTGCTTCAGTTACTGCCCTACATCTGAATGTAGAAAGTATGAAACAGCTGAAGTTAAATTAATTGTATAAATGTAGAAAGTATAGAAAAGAAAAGCAGAAGTAGAAGAAAAAGAAGAAGTTAGTATGTTAAAAGAGTTAAAGACAAGAACTGTAACAACAAAGTTCATATTGGGGCTGTATTTTCTACTGACAGAGAGACAGTAATGCACACATGGAAACAGTGTGTGTGTGTGTGTGTGTGTGTGTGTGTGTGTGTGTGTGTGCCCGCGCGCGCACGAGCGGCCAAGTCCGTGCGTGTGCGATCGAAGCACACAGCCCATGACAAGTGCAGAATCTGACAGAGAGATAGTAAGAGACACAGTAATGCACTCATGGAAACAGTGTGTGTGTGTGTGTGTGTGTGTGTGTGTGTGTGTGTGTGTGTGTGCCCGCGCGCGCACGAGCGGCCGAGTCCGTGCGTGTGCATGTGCGTGTGCGATCGAAGCACACAGCCCATGACAAGTGCAGAATCTCTGGCTCCTAAGGAATGTACTCACCTCCTGGGCAAGCTGTACAATTTCATGACTTCAGACCGATTTTGTGAGAAGCAGGACGAGTGTACCTCCATTTTGATGTGTTTTTTATGGCTGTGGAGTGAAACTTGCGGCCGCAGCAGCAAAATAATCATGCTTGGTCTAGTGAATCCAAAAGGCCCCGCCCGCATCGAGTGATGACGTCAGACGCTGTAGCGTGAGTCAGGCTGAAAAAGGCAGACAACTTCATGTTGCTCCAAGTGAAATTGTGCAAAAACGGTAGGAAATAGCAAAAAGGAGTGAATACAACATTTGTAGCAGACACGTTGCTGAACATTTTAAAGCAAAAATGAGGTCTGTAGGTGAAAGTATGCAGAAGTTATAAGGGTGAGAAGGTGTTATAGCTGTATCTCCATTCATTTGTAATGGAACAAATTTTTGCAGAAAAAGTGAAATATTGCAAAAAGTATAAATGGTAGAAAGGTGAAAAGTAATAGCCGTAATGTCCTGAAGGAGTGCATTAGTATAAAGTTTGAATGGTGAAAATAGCACAAAGTGGTAAGGAGTTGAAAAGGGCCAAAAAAGGTACGGAAGAATAATAATAATAACTAGAAAAATTGCATTTCCTTGCAGAAAATGCGTGGAAATGCTGAGTGCTGAAAGCTGAAAAAGCAATGCAAAACTGCCAATAAAAAATGGAGGAAGGTATAAACGGAAAAACTGTAGAAAAGGTGGAGTAGAAGAAGAAGAAATTGTATGAATGGAAGAATTGTAGTATAGCTGGAGGTAAATTAGTTGGATTAATGTACAAATTGTCTGATAGCCTAAGTGAAAAATGTATATGATTGATGTGAATAAACAGAACTGATATGGATAATTGAATTTGAAAAACAAATGCCTTTAAACAATGTGTAACAATGTTCCTATTAAATGTACAAATAGTAAAACAGATTTTTGCAGTCTGCAGCATCCAACCATAGTAACTTGAGAATGCAGAACAGCACCATCTATTGCCCTGCTTCAGTTACTGCCCTACATCTGAATGCAGAAAGTATGAAACAGCTGAAGTTAAATTAATTGTATAAATGTAGAAAGTATAGAAAAGAAAAGCAGAAGTAGAAGAAAAAGAAGAAGCTAGTATGTTAAAAGAGTTAAAGACAAGAACTGTAACAACAAAGTTCATATTGGGGCTGTATTTTCTACTGACAGAGAGACAGTAATGCACACATGGAAACAGTGTGTGTGTATGTGTGTGTGCCCGCGCGCGCACGAGCGGCCAAGTCCGTGCGTGTGCGATCGAAGCACACAGCCCATGACAAGTGCAGAATCTGACAGAGAGATAGTAAGAGACACAGTAATGCACTCATGGAAACAGTGTGTGTGTGTGTGTGTGTGTGTGTGTGTGTGTGTGTGTGTGTGTGCCCGCGCGCGCACGAGCGGCCGAGTCCGTGCGTGTGCATGTGCGTGTGCGATCGAAGCACACAGCCCATGACAAGTGCAGAATCTCTGGCTCTGAAGGAATGTACTCACCTCCTGGGCAAGCTGTACAATTTCATGACTTCAGACCGATTTTGTGAGAAGCAGGACGAGTGTACCTCCATTTTGATGTGTTTTTTATGGCTGTGGAGTGAAAATTGCGGCCGCAGCAGCAAAATAATCATGCTTGGTCTAGTGAATCCAAAAGGCCCCGCCCGCATCGAGTGATGACGTCAGACGCTGTAGCGTGAGTCAGGCTGAAAAAGGCAGACAACTTCATGTTGCTCCAAGTGAAATTGTGCAAAAACGGTAGGAAATAGCAAAAAGGAGTGAATACAACATTTGTAGCAGACACGTTGCTGAACATTTTAAAGCAAAAATGAGGTCTGTAGGTGAAAGTATGCAGAAGTTATAAGGGTGAGAAGGTGTTATAGCTGTATCTCCATTCATTTGTAATGGAACAAATTTTTGCAGAAAAAGTGAAATATTGCAAAAAGTATAAATGGTAGAAAGGTGAAAAGTAATAGCCGTAATGTCCTGAAGGAGTGCATTAGTATAAAGTTTGAATGGTGAAAATAGCACAAAGTGGTAAGGAGTTGAAAAGGGCCAAAAAAGGTACGGAAGAATAATAATAATAATAAAGAAATAGTAGAATAACAATAAGTGGAAATGCTGTGTCAGCATTTCCACTTAATAAAGAAATAGTAGAATAACAATAAGTGGAAATGCTGTGTCAGCATTTCCACTTAACTAGAAAAGTTGCATTTCCTTGCAGAAAATGCGTGGAAATGCTGAGTGCTGAAAGCTGAAAAAGCAATGGTAAACTGCCAATAAAAAATAGAGGAAGTTATGAATGGAAAAACTGTTGAAAAGGTGCAGTAGAAGAAGAAGAAACAGTATTAATGTAAAAATTGTACTGTAGCTCAAGGTAAAAAAGTTGAATGAATGTACAAATTGTATGATAGACAAAGTAAAAACTAATTATATGACTTTTGTGAGTTCACAGAAATTATAATCAGTATAAGTGATTTTGAAAAAGAAATGCCTTAATTAATGTGAAACAATGTTTCAATTAAATGTAGAAATGACAAAACACGTGTGCAGTCTGCAGCATCCAACCATAGTAACTTCAGAATGGAGAATAGCACCATCTAGTGTATGGAGACAGATCAGGCTCAAAAGTGTTGAAAAGTGCAATATATATAGTGAATCTCCTTCCACTTCAGTGGGGCAACATAAACTGTGATTCATAAAATAGCTCTATTGATAGTGAGTATTAAAAAAATATATCTACTCATGCCATCCTGTCGATTTTTAGTAATCAGTGTTTCGGTGTCGAACTATTTCCCTTCTGCGGCATTGTGATACTTGCACACGCGCAATCGAATATGCAGGGGATGAAGCGATTTTTGTCACGTGGACCAATAGGAGCCGAGTCTCGTTGCCATAGTATCAGAAATACACAAACATGGCGACGACCGCATCTCGCAGCGAGACAAGCGAAGAGGAAGAAAAGAAAAGGAACAAAAGAAAACAGCCTTCAAAAGTGCATAAAAAAGGAACGAAACGATGCTATATGCATCTATCATCTGTCATCTGTCCAGAGTGAAGACGTTCTCGACTTTACAAGGACACGTTGGGAAACTTACAGAACTAGTATTGGAAATTGGCTTTCTCTACAGGGTGAGACAAAGGACCTTGCAGAAACTTATAAACATTGCGTTGATATCGACTTTGACAATGTTCTGATGAGGCTGGGTTTCACATGACATGCTACCAGTGATTTTTTTGCAAAAGGGGTTTGATAAACAAGAACGTGATGCAGCCACGGGTCAGTCAAACCCTTAACGCAGCATGCATCCACGTCCACGGCATCTGAAACTCCGCGAAAGAAACTTCGGTCGAGGTCATAAGCTGTATTGGGACAAAGGAAAAAGTGCCTAGAAAGTGAATTTCGTTAAAATACTTTATAAAAGTTTATACGTTTCTGCAAGGTCCTTTGTCTCACCCTGTAGAGAAAGACACTTTCCAATACTAGTTCTGTAAGTTTACCAACATGACCTTGTAAAGTCGAGAACGTCTTCACTCTGGACAGATGACAGATGCATATAACATCGTTTCGCTCCTTTTTATGCACTTTTGAAGGCTGTTTTCTTTTGTTCCTTTTCTTTTCTTCCTCTTCGCTTGTCTCGCTGTGAGATGCGGTCGTCGCCATGTTTGTGTAT